GCTCTCACACGGTTTCAGCGTTAGACAAGGGCCCACAGGACACTGAGGGGCTCCCGATCCCAGCTTAGTGTGTCCCAACCTCCGGAGGATGCGTTATGTCGAGGCACCCCGGAGACACTGAACCTGATCCCTGTTCATGTAACCCAGAATCCTTCACTCAGTGTCACGTTTAACTGCGTGAAGCCAAAACCAAACGATGTCCAGCTAGAATGAACGCATTCGTTTTTAATTCAGAATAAGAAAATGCTGATGGATTTAGTAATGTTGTATTTCTAGACAAGGAAGAAGAAAGGGGAAGCAAGAGGAAGGGAACCTCGCCCGTCAGCCCACCTGGCTTGCCTCCTTGGGTGAATTAATGGGCTTCTCTGCACGTCTGCATCTTGCTCTGTAAAGGGAAAACTGTCACACCTACTCTGCTAGGTTGGGAGGATGATGTGAAGGGAGGCAGGTCACACTGAAAGGTCCCGGGTTCATAGCAGGTGCTCAATCCAAAGCAACGAGAAACATCCGTGGATCCGTAGAGACCGATCTACGTGTGACAGAAAACTTGCATTTCTCAGAAGCCCCTGTGGGGTGATTTTTTTATTTTTTTATTATTGGTTGTTTTTCATTTTGTAATAACTTGACTCTTGGAAAATTAGTCTATCATCCTGTTTAATGGCAGGACATTTCAGCTTGATGGACCACAGAGGACTAGTAAAGTGCTCTGTTTTCTCTCAGCTCCAAAACGAGCAGAGGACAGCTGGCTCTGAATTTTAAAGGCTGTTTGAGAGGATTTTTTGAGCCTTCTTCAAGTGTGACATTTGAAATGCTTCATTAAATATGTGCAGAACGTTCTTATATGTCATTTTTCAGCACTATAAACATTTGCAGAAAGAACTCCCAATTTTTTTTCAAATTATAAAAATACTGGGGCGCCTGGGGGGCTCAGTGGGTGAAGCAACTGCCTTCGGCTCAGGTCATGATCCCGGGGTCCTGGAATCCAGCCCCACATCAGGCTCCCCGCCCAGTGGGGCGTCTGCTTCTCTCTCTCCCTCTGCCCCTCCCTGCTCGTGCTCCCTGTTTCTCAATCTCTCAAATAAGTAAATTTAAAAAATCTAAAAAAAATGTGTCCATTTCTTCCAAATTGCTGAATTTGTTGATATCTAGTTGCTGGTAATAATTTCTAGTAATTGTTTCTGTTTCATGGGTGCTAGTCATAGAGCACGTGTCGGGATGAGCACTGGGTGTTACCTACAATAATGAATGGTTGAATGCTACAATAAAAACTTACAATGTACTGTGTTTTGACTAACTGAACATAATGAAAAATAAAAAAAATAAATAAAAATAAAAAGTAAAAACAAACAAACAAAAGAAATCCCCCTGTCCTACAAAAGCTGTCCTTAAAGGAATTAAAATTTCACCGAGATGTGGGTCACCAGCCTTCCTTGTGGAGACCACACTGAGCAGAAGCCGACAACTCCAGCATCTCTGTTTGAATGGGGGGCTCACTCAGTAAAGGCTACGTTCAAGCAGTGGCTTGGAAACATCAAAAAAAAAGAAAAAGAATCTAAGAAAAAAGCTTTAAAAATTATTAAAATGCGGCTTGATTTTGGTCTGGAGAAGAGTGAAAGCTTGAAGAAATAAGTCGGCTTCCCCACGGCCATTCCTCGTGCCGGGACTCCTCGCAAGCGCGCGGATTATCAGTCGTCTCCGCGATGCTAACATCTGAGAAAGTGCCGAGCCTGGCAGCCAATTCAGAGAAAGCGCCTCACGAACACCTCCGTCCTTTGCCTCCCCTGCCACAGACCCACAGGCATATACGAGGCTGAAATAAATCACACCAAGAAATAGAAATCTAAAATTAAATATTTAATTAGAACTCTGATTTGCTTTAAAGATAGGTGTCATTGCACAGGCTATATTACACTCTCTTTATAATTTTTTGACAAAAAAAGATACTGTTGATTTTAACAGGCCACTTTAATATTAATACATGTGTAATAGGATTGGAACTGAGAATCTGCTAGAGATGGTACATGGTACATTATTGGGAAAATTACAGTTTTGTATTGTAAAAACATTTATTTTTAACAATTTACCTACATTAATCAAAAAATTACAGCATATTTAATAATTTTACAAATTCTTCATAAAAAATATATCTCTGTACAAAAAGATCGTTTGCACCTACTTCATGTCAGCAGCATGTGGCGAGATGGTGACACGGGGCGGGCGGAGATGCGGCGGGTTTCCTGACCATGACACCAGCGTTCGTTCCCCCTGTTTGAGAATCACTTTTTTTGTTGTTGTTTACAAAATATCTTACAGAAGAAAAAAATTATTGCAGCTAGCCTGAAGAAAGGCAAAAGATGTGGGAACAAGCAGCAGTTTTAAACAGCTCTGAAGCACATAACCTTCGTGGGGTCCTGCCCGCGCACGGGCTCCGGTGGCTTCCAGAAGGGGGCCCGCAGCCCCGGCGCAGGCAGCCCACGTGCCGACTGCCTGTGGGAGACCCTCTGACACCTCGCGGGAGGTCTGTCAACACTGCACACACCCTAGGAGGAAACTGGGCGGGATTCTCGCGGGAGAATTTCATGGGGTGTTCTGCTGTTGGTGTGGGACACCACGGCCCGAAGTGCAACCGCAGGACGGCTGGCTCCGCACACGGAGGAGAGTGGTATCTGATCGGATGCGTGGTTTCTGTGTGCGTGTACGTACGTCCTGTTGGTTCAGGAATCGGTGACGGCATGGACCGGCAAGCGGGTTAGGGACGGGGGAAGGGAGACATTGATCCAGACTCTGAAGTCAGCATTTTGCACCTAGTTTGAATGACTCAAACTTAGATATGTACAATATATCTATAGATATGTATGTATGTATATATATACAGTAATATATATAGTAACCCTGTTCTCCCCTGCACACAACGGTCCTCGAGCTCCCTTTGTCTTTGCTCTGGTTCAGTGTGCGCGTCAGGAGCCTGGCCTTGGCTGACCTCATCTAGTCTAAGAAGCGGAACCCGCATTTGCAAGGCAAATCTCCAGTCACGTTACCAGGCTGGCCAGAGAACAAGGGGCAGAGAATTCAGCATGGAACTACGGGATTCAGAATTTGGAGTTCAAAAGGCAAACAAGTCCCTAGAAGAGGTCAGCGATGCCCTCGTCACAGCATACGCCCCTTCAACTGAGTAACAGAGTGGCGGGCATCGAGACAAGGCCACAAAACCACTCATATCAAAACACATGACGGGAAAGAATGAGCTGTTCTCCTCACAGGTTTTTGTGTCTCCCCCCCCCCATTTGTCACCTGTGAAATCCTGCATTTAAGTGTTCAACAGAGCAATGGCTCCATCCGTCCTAAAGCCAGGACATGTGTCCACGACGACGATGCGAATGAAACCGCCTGTGGATGTGGAAGGGGAGGAGGGAAACGTTTCAGCGCGTGAAGCAGGTAAGTTACACCCAAATCATAAAATAAGCAACAGCTTCTCAAAATGCTTTTATCAAACCCTTTTAAATAAAAATAAACACGATCTTCACGTGGATTCTGTTACAGCCACATGCCCGTCGCCGTGCCTTCTGCTTCATCCACGGATCTCACCCGCACCGTGGGTCGCCCCTGCCCGACCCACAGCGAGTCTCGTGTCTCATGTTGAGCGCACTCGAGAAGTGAACACTCCCCAGATGGCCTTGGCATCTGGCGTTCACATGAAACAGAAGACCGAGCGAGGTATGACACGCGTCATCAGGACAGAGGGGTGTGTGCCATCCTCCCTCGCCTGCACAGAGACACACGGGATGGCGGTCCTGACAGGCCCTGCTGACCGCGAGCTGTGCCATCATTCAACGCCATGGCTGCGGGCGGCGAACCACGGCACACGGGGAGGACGACGGTGAGCTGAACCCCACGAGTTCATGAGCTTCCAAAGTAAGGTGCTATGGACGTGTGTACATGGCAGAGACACACGCCACAACCGCCCTGCCATCCCGTGCCCCCACCCCGGTGCTCACGGGCAATGCGAAAGGCAGAACGTGTGTGGGAAATGAAACATAAAAAGGCCCCTCTTTTTTTTTTCCCTCTTTCGACATCTTCAATGAATTCAACACACGTATGTAGCTAAAGGAAGCAGAACAGAATAAATTTCTCCAAGACCACATTTCCCTTTAAAACCTGTGCCGCGTCTGGGGATACTTCCTCTCTCTAACTGGCCGGGTGGTAGATGTGTAGCTGGACCACATGAGAAGATGCTTATATACAATGGATAGTGTGTATAAACCCTGTGTAAATAGTTTATTTTTTTTTCTGAATCTTACTCAGTCATTCATAACACACTAGTGCAAAAAATTGTGCATCAAAAATTCTGCAATAGAACAGCTGACTGGGGAGTTTGCCAATGGCCCTGGGAATGGACACTGAAGGGAGCTGTGAGTCCTCAAAGCGTGTGGGGTCTTGGGAAGGACAGAGTGAAGCGTTTGCAGGTGTGTGCATCTGCCAGAAAGGTGCCTTCTTCAAGAGAGCTTATTTTTTTTTTTCCAGAGTATTGATATTCATGGGGGTTTAAAAAAAAAAAAAGAAAAGAAAAAACAAAAACAAAAACAAAAGACCGGAACAACGTATTGTGGTATATTGTGGTGCTGCCATTTTGTCACCGCACCCAAAGGACGAATCCACGTGCCCGGAAGACTGCATTGAAAGGCATCCCAGCCACACAGAAACGGAAGTCCGAGGCATCGCGTACCAAGCTGTCGGCGTGACTCAGCAGGCTTCCTTGAGCGCGCCGTGACCCCAGGCAGATGCAGCGAGCCGGCCGGGATGCGGGTGAACGCGCCATCCGATCCGCGGAAGACTCTGGCACGTGACTGGAGGTTCCCGCTGCATGGACGCCGGCACAAGATGGGAACGATCAGCGCAGCGAAGCCGAGAGGAGGAGGGGGAGGTGGTATATGGCACCAGAGGACTTGCTGCTCGTCCATCAGAGGTATGGCTATGAATCGGTCCTAACGGGGCACTGAGGGCTATACCACCGTACACACTGTGTTCAGAGTCGTGTCAAACCGCACAGCCTTGGCTTCTGTGGGTTTTAAGTTTGTATCATACATGGGGTTTTCAAACGAAGCTTGTCCATTGCTGTTTTCATGTCCCGCGTAGCCATTGTATTGAACTTTTGGTCTCGTTCTAAGGGGGAAAGAAGGATCACACGGTTAGCACCCAGATTTTAAGAACACAGGCAGCAGCGGGGTCTCGGGGCATCGCATCACTCCCGACTCAGCAGGGATACACACACGAGGGCACACAGTGATGGGGAAGGGGCCCCTCTTCACATGTTTAGACCATTTTCTTTTTTAGAATCTGTTGTTGGGATGTTGCAGGCAGTTTAAAACACTGAAGCTCTTTCAAAATCAAAGAATTATCGGATTCCTGGTAATACTCTTGGCAAAATGGAAAGATCATCAGAACCAGAGTCAGGTGGATGTTGGACTAGGTATTTGTCACTTTTAAGTTCCATGACCTTGGGGAAGTCACTCCAAGAAAAAAGCAAGACTGCCCATCAAGACATCGACCCTTCAGGACTGTTCAGATTAAGGAAAAGAGAAACAGACTTTGGTTCGCTGCATGTAACGTTCACCGAATGGTAGCTATTTTGTGACGTGACACAGCCAGTGACCAAGTCACAGAAATGGCATCGGACTCTTTGTCAAACTATTGGTTACATTTTCTAATTAAAAGAAACGCTTGTGTGTGACCTAAGATTGGAGATTGGAAGATTTTTAAAGGTAAAAGATGTAAAGCTATTTATCTAGTCTGCCTCCCCCTCAACCTTTTCCAGGAGAAACTATATAAGAAGACTACACCAGGTGTGAAAACGCAACTTTCACGTAAATGCCCAAGCCAGCAGAAACATCCCTGCGTACCGGATTCGATGATGCTTCTGTGTCAGGGACTTACTAGCAGATTTTCTTAATTGACATTATGCTCACTGAGAAAAAGAGGATTCAAACTGTGTCAGTTTCAGAGAATTAGGCTTCTGTCCCCAGAAAAACAGTTTGCAACTGCCCCAGGACTTGGGAAGGTCTTTGACGTTGAACTTGAAAATGCTCCAGCATTAAAAGTTAATAAACAATTTCAGCCAAGCGTTAGTGCAGTTGAAAGCTGGCTAAAACCCCATGTCACCCCCTGGCACTGCAGGGAAGCCCCACAGAATTGGAGGGGACCCCAGGACCGTGGAGAAGGAGATGTGTACAGAGCAGGTATGTGGGAGTCCTGAGTCAGGAGCTTGGCCTTGACTGAAGGAACAATTCCAAGCAGACAGTAATGAGAGAGCCTCAGAAATGAGCGGGAATAGGATCTTTGCTCGCGAAATGCAGAGCCAACTGGTGAGGGAACCTTGACACCTATAGAGGGTAAGGAGCCTGTGTAGGGAAAGCTCATAGCTTGGTGTGTTCCCTGGGCACATGGCAGCAACTCAAAAGAAAACGAATTCCTGACATGCCCAGGTGATGAGGCATGGCCGGCTTCTGCAGAAATCCCCCAATTCCTCATAGGGCACCGAACCCGAGGACTACAGGAGCCTCCGGACTCAGCAGTCACGGGGCTGAGGGGCTCTCAAGAGCCATGAGGTCAGACAGCCTTCTGTGGTGTTCTAGACACAGCACAGTCTCCTGGGTGAGGAGTCACGTTGAGAGCGAGACAGGCAGAGAATAAACGCCCACCAGCCCACAGGCGTGGAAATGCAAAGAAGGGATCAAAGTCACAAAACAAGTAAGTGGTACCTCTGTCGCAGAGGCTCCGTGTACTGAACGCCGTGGGGAAGCATCTGAGGTTGAACATACACATACACGTGTACATACACTTGTGTAGGGTTATCTCCCGAAATGCTCAGAGACGTGATGGGGAAAGTTTTCTCGGAGTCTCATGTAAAGGTCTGCCTCACAGGGAGGCACATCGAGGCAAACCTCAGGGGCAGCTGGGGACACTGTCCCACACCTGCCTCTAGGTCTGGGCAGAGGACAATCCAGGAGGCTCCCAGACACCCCCTGATGGACAGGGGATGTGTCAAACGTGGGGAGAAAGAACTTCAGTGGACCGCACGTTTCCCTAGGGGTTAACAGGGCTGGCAACACCACCACCAAAAAGCAAAAATGAATTTGTTGGAATTATACATTCCCTCCGTATGTGTATCTGTAAGGGTACAGTGGTTCCTAGAGAAACGTGTGAAAGAGGATATATTTGTAATTTATACTTCTTTAAGAAGAGAAACACTTCAAAGCATGGTATTTTATTGGATAACATGGTGAGATAGCTTTTTTTTGTATTTACTACATTTTCAGCTAGCTCCAAGGAGAAATTTGAGAATAAAGCTCACCAGACCTGTGTGCAAAGAATATTGTTTTTTTCTAAAAGTAATAATTAACAATATGGATGGGCCAAAGTATAATTTTATCAAGAACCATCAGAGATTCCTTTCATCATTTTTTTTTTTTTTAAAGTAAGTACATTACTAACCACAAGAACGGGAAGACGTGTGTGCGGGCAGCTATGCAATATAATTTTGAAGTAACATTCTTACTACCTTATATATTTTTAAAAAGCATAAGAAAGTACATATTTAAAACTATTCTCTGATTCATTTAAAAAATTCTTAAACCAGTTTTTCTTTTTTAAACTGGGATTAAATAGAAAAACAGAAATATCTGCATTATATAAATGAACGTTGAACACTTCTAACATACCTTAATCTTATTTTAAGGAATCATAGAGGGCTTTTTTTTTTTTTTTTAAATCATACGTAGGGAATGCCACTATTCTAGGTAGTATTTTGGAACAGTTTGGCATATGTCATATTCTTCCAGGACATATATTGTCCAGATAAACACAAAATGTGTAAGAACTCATAATTCCTCCACAATTTATTTTTGCTTTTTTTTTTTTTTTTTTTTTGGGGGGGGGGGGGGGGGGCAACATTAACTCCAAGGAAAGGCCACTAGAAATGTGCGGCCAGGGAAGCCGGGGACACTGCGTCGCATGAGCCTCCTTAACGTCAGCGGGAGTGTGGGGTGCGGGTTGCGGGCGCGGGTGCGGGATGTGAGGTGCAGGGGGTGCGGGGTGAGGGGGCTGCGGACGCGCAGGGACAGCAGGACCCGCCCCGCGCCGCGCCGCGCCGCGCGCAGGGGTCCCGCCGCGGGTACCTGTGTTTGTAGAGGTAAAACGCAAACCCCGACAAAATGAGAGCGAAGAACGGGACGAGGATGGCGGCCGCCACGGACCCGCTGCTCGTGCCCTGGTGCTGATTCGGGGCGTCTTGATCCGAGTTCAGGGGATCTGGAAGACAAGAGGAGGAGGCGGCTGCCGGCACCGCACGCACAGTTACACGCACCCACGCGGGGGCTTCGTGAGTGGGTCCGGCTCTGCGGCAGGAGTCGCGACTCCCCAACCCGGCGCCTTTCTGCAAGCCCGTCACATCGGGCTAACGGTCGGGGCAGAAAACTACTCCTGAACGACGTCAGGGATGCTGTGGAGGAGTCAGGCAGGGGGACTGGGCGGGGGCAAAGCGGGGCGCACACCGCGACCTGGACCCGCAGGTGCGCGAAGCCGAGGGAAGCCCCCGCGCGCCGTCCACAGGCAGACGGGCAAGCGCCGGCCCTTTTCTCCTGTCCCGGACCGAGTCCGCCCGACCGAAGCCGCCGAGATATGTCCACACCCCGGGTCTCTCCACCCGCGGCATCTCGTTCTCCGCATGGGAGTGTGGTGTGCGACCTCCTTTACTGGAGTGAGACCGCCAGTTCGCCTGCGGCTGAGCGTGCGCGAGACCACAGCTCAGTGCCACCAGGCAGGCTCCCACGAGGACTCGGACCGTGATAAACATGACTTCTGTCCCTTAGAACGGAAGGCAGAGGTCAGCATCCCGGCCGTCACGGAGAGGACCTGGTCGTGAATCTATAATCCGTATCTACACGGCAGCAGATGCGTGCGCGACCCGGAGACACATGCGAACTTTGAAAATTCAAGTTAGAAAACGCTTATTAAGCAACTATTGCCAAATTAAAAGGTTTGTTCTAAAGAGCTTATTCATAAGATCAATTTTGAAATGTGTGTGGCTTAATCGCGTGGGCTCACTCAGTGCGCGTGTGTCAGGGATCACGACCGGGGCCCTCTGAATGCGGCAGGGTTGCTCCAAGTAAGCGGGGCTTGGCTGGGAAGTATCCGTCTCGAATTTACGGACTGTTCAGTAAAAGAGAAGTTTTCATTCTTTTTTTTTTTTTTACCCACAAACCATAATTGTAAATAAACAATCAAATATTACACACATCTAATTAGGTTTTTACATAAACATTCTCATGTTCACCTTGAAAACATGACAATGCTATGATGTCATTCAACAGACATGGGAACCTGCTACTTCCTGCCATCTTAGGGTCTAGTACTTTATACTGCATTTCTAATATATTGTATAACTGATGCTGGGTCTGTGTATCTTAACTGTATTTCTCTGAGCTCCTGCCTTCTCAGCGCCTGTGAATGAGACGTGATGTTTCACTCTCAGATGTGCCTACCACCTGCCGTGGAGGGGAAACCTCTTCCACCAGATACTGGTTCTCTCTAAATCTCGTATCCCATTGGACGTACCCTGGGCCCTAGTCAGGGTGGCAGAGGAAGAGCACCTGAGGTGGCCGGGAAGCCAGGCCGTGGCTGTGGTGCTGGACAGCCTGGAGCACACCGCAGAGTGCCCAGGTGACAGGTCCAGCAGCAGCAGGCAGAGTCCCGGGACCAGGGTGAGGCCGTCCTGCACAGGGAGCTGAGGTATACCCTCAGGTGGCAGCAAGTCTACTAATTCCCTGTGATATTTAAGTGTCAGGACACCCTCTGCTGCCTGGCACGCAGCCCACGTTCATGGGGACCCGTGTGTTCTAGAACAGAAGCTCTCATATGTGTACTGGGGAGCCTGGGACTCGCTTTCCGCTTGAATCCCCAGCGCCTACAAGAGGACTCCGGACACAGGAGCTGCTCACTAAGAGCCTGTCAAATGGAAAATGGGGCTTACGGTACTTGAGCCCCCAACAGTTTCTGAGAAGCTACCGCCCGGCGTTCTTAGGCTGGTGGCATTCCGTGAATCTCTCTGCCTCCTTCTCATAAACGTGTGCTCTGCTTAAATGAACCAAAGTGACTATTGTTATCTGCAGACAAGACTATTTTTCACCATCATGGCTATCAGACTTCTCGTCAATAAATGGATATCCCACAAGAGACTGTGCATCAAACACAGCTATAAAAGAAGGTCTTTGAAACTGTACAGCGCGGCGTCCTTCTACTCTGGAATTATTGTGCCGTCCGGAGTTGCTGTTAATGTCAGTTATCCACCCCTGCTTCCATAATCTAAAGGGTAATACATGCACATGATATTAATTAAAACAGCATAAAAAGATATAAACAGAAAGAACATAAAGGACAATGGAAATAAAGGGCTACTCTTTGCCCTTTATGCTAGTCTTCCTCTTAAGGTTAACTATTTTTTGATGTCCTTCCAGCAATGTGCTATTAATATATATGTTTGTTTCTCTTCCCTAAAATGTAAGAACACTAGATACATATTTTTTTGTATTTGGCTTTTTAAACTTAACCATATATCTTTGAAATTTTTCTCAGTACATATGAATTAGATTTACTTTTTCAGATGTGTAGTGTTTTATTAATGGGATATGCCAGAATTTTTTTCAGCCAGTCTACCTTTGAAGGACATTTAGGCCATTTCTAATATTTTTCTAATGCTGCAATGAAATCTTTTTTTTTTTTTCCCCTAGAGTGATACATCCGTAGGAGTTGAAACATACAGGATAAATTCTACCAAGTAGACTCATTGCCTAAAAGAATCTGTAACTGCCATGTTGTTACCCCGTACCCCCTAAAGCTGTGCTCTGACCTCACTTCAACCGTTATGTTATGAGGCTAGCATGAAAACACCTGAACAATGATAGAATGTCCAACGTGCTCTCCCCTTCCCCCTCCTCCCTCGGGCCTTCTCTTCACACTCTCACTACTATTACTGCTCCCACAAGTCACACACGGCGTGTCCTTACTTTCTCACTGACATTTCTGTGCTTAGTAATGAAGGTGGGCATCTCTTCCTCTGTTTTAAGCTAGTCCACTCAGGTTTTTTTAACATCATTAATGAAAGAAATTCATATACTGTTGATAATTCACCAAAGATATACATAAATCTATTGGTGCACAAAGAGGATGTGAGGTGTATGTGTGTGTGTGTGTGTGTGTGTGTGTGTGTGTGTGTGTACATGAATGTGTACAGACACACAGCGTGGAATATTACTTGGTTATAAAAAAGAAGTTGTTGCCATTTGTGACAGCACAGGTGGACCCAGAGAGTATGATGCCAAGTGAAATAAGTCAGACAGAGAAAGACAAACGCCAGACGATTTCACTTCCATGTGCAGCCTAAAACAAACGGAAAGCAAATAGACCCTTAAATTGAGAACAACTACGGTTGCCAGAAGGGAGGTGGCTGGGGGATGGCGGAAGCAGACAAAGGGGAGTAAGAGGCACAAACCTCCAGTTATAAAACAAATAAGTCACAGCGATGAAAAGCAGAGCATGGAGAATATTGTGACTAATATTGTAATAATGTCGTCTTGTGGCTACATTTACCGAGTCATGAACAGCTTGTGGAAACACTGTGGTGTGCACCTGAAACTAATGTAACATTGTGTGTCAATTCTACCTCAATAATAAATAAAAACATACATAAAAATAATAATAATAAGGCATAATACGTTCCAAAATTTTTGGTCTATTCACACGGTGTTACAATGATCACTATGGTTTAATTCGAGAACACTGCTGTTCCTCTTAAAAGAAACCCATTGTCCCTTGGAAGACATTCCTCACCTTCCCACCTCCAGCTCCGAGCAACCACTGAGCTGCTGTCTCCAGAGATCTGCCTTTTTATTCACATAAATGGAATCATACCGTATGTGGGGTTTTCTCTGTGAGTGGTTCTTCCTACTGAGTAGAAGGTCTTTAAGAGAACATCAGGCTGTACAGACACACCGTGTTCTCTTCACCTGCTCGTCAGCTGACGGGCATCTGGGTGGTTCCCCTGTGTGGGCTACTAGGAATAACGCTGCTATGCGCCTTGTGTCCACATTTTCGTGTGAACACGTTCTCACACGTGTTCTGTTGGCCGTACATGGAGTGGAGTGGCGGCACTGCATGGTAATTCCATGATTAACTGTTTGACAAGCAGCCAAGACTGTTTCCCACTGCGGCTGGACCACTGGTGCACGCCATCCATGAGGTACGAGGGTCCTAATCTCTCCGCACTCTGGCCACGCTTGTCTGTCTGCTCATTGGCTTCCTGGTGCTCGTGGGGGGTGTCTCAGTGTGGTTTGATTTATGTTCCCCAAATGACTCGTGATGTTGAGCATCTTTTCAGGTGTTTATCGATCATTTGTAGGTATTTGGAGATATGTCAACTCAAATCCTTTGCCAATTTTTTAGTTAGGTTATTTGTGTCTGTGTCATTGAACCAGATGAGCCCTTTATATGTTCTGGATACAAGTCCCTTATCAGATGCACACTTTGCACTGCTTTTCTTCCATTCTGTGTGTGTGTGTGTACACCTAGAGTTGGGGTTGCGACAATTCAGTGTACACGGGGAAACCAGCCTATCGTTCGGTTTCTTACACCCGTTTTTGCTGTAGAGTGTCCTTTCCACCCAACTTGGGTTGGTATCCACTTATTAAAAATCACTTTCTTCCCATTTATCTACTGGCTGGAGACAATGAAGACGTTTATTTTTATCCATAAAAAGTGTTTAGCCAAATCTGAGATGAATGGTCGCTGGCGAAGCATACGGAAACGTCAACTTTTCTAATTAGCTGAAGGGCAGACTTGCTTGGGATTCAAATTACCCGTGAGGCAAACTGCTTTTCCTGACAACAAACTCCTCATCACATGGGAATAAAGATTACTTGTTAAAGCAAGCCGTTGTTTCATGAGATTAGGAAGAAAGGGTGTTAGGCAAGAGTGTCTGTGACAGCATAGTGAGAGTGAGCCCAGCCTCCTCGGACGAGTGAACCCAGACAGCCACGGGGTACCTCGTACAGCTCACTGGGGCGTCCTTCTGCGGAATTACTAGAGCGTGTGCCCAGGGAGAAAGGAGGACAGAGAACTGCAGGGATTTGGCTCCGAGCAAGAGAAAATTTTACTCGTCATTAGTGTTGGCCCAGTGCATTTATTCTATTTCATTGCCTCAAAATAACGTAACCCAGTTTAAAGTGCTGTACCCACCATGGCTGGCTTATGATTTAAAGCTCTTTACTTAGAAGCACTGCATTTGGAATGGTGGAATTCAAGTATTTTACGATTATTCTTTTTCGGTCAAGAATTTTTTTTTAATTATTTATTTATTTATTTTTTTGTAAGTTTAAATCCAATTAGCCGACATAAAGTGCGTCGTCAGTTTCAGATGTGGCGTTTAACGATTCATCAGTTACCTACGACACCCGGTACTCGTCACGTCACATGTTTTTTACACATAGTAATAGACAGGCTGCGAGGCCTTTCCTTTGGGATTGCTCCATGTCGTGATAAAGTCTTACAAGGTGAGCAACCGATGACAACCGCCACAGGTATGACACTCACATGCCTCTGAAACGCAGCTCAGGTACCAAAGCCTGTATGGGCTTACAAGTAAAGCGGTCTATACCGGTCGGAGAGACATGTGCTAATCTCCCTACAGAAAGGCATTTTCTCATCCCTATCAGCAGTGACGACAGCAGTGACTTCCGTGAGGGAAGAAGTCCAGACGGCACAAAGCAAAGGCTCGCACCATCTCTTAATCTAGGTGACAAGGCAGAACTGACTTCCCTACGGGGATGTCAGCTGAAGAAGTAGGCCTGAGAAGATTGCAAGCCATCCTGCATTACAAAACTAGCTGGTGGATGGATGACCTAGGATTCTCATCTAGCGATTTCTCTTCATATATTGCTCTCTTCAAGGACTAAGGTAAAAATGAAGTTGTAGAGAAAGGTAGGAGGGAGGACCCATCTGTCTATGTATGGTAAACTTTTTTTCTCCTGTAGAGGTCATGGATATCTCTGCATGTCAATACACAGTCCTCACCTCTTAATGAAAAATACTGAATTAAATTTAGCTCCCTATTTAATGGGACATGTTGTGTCAAATTATGTACTTAAGCAACTCTTTGATGATAGATGTGTGAGATGCACGATCGATTTTCACATTCATCTGGTTGAAATCCAAAGGCAGACGCGCTGGGTGACAGGTATCGTCAAATCACCCGTATCTATTCAGACATCCCTCCAAAATGGAGCACCCAGTGGCCATTTCTACTGTTCCCCAGAATAACTGCTTAAAAAGTTTATATTCTAATAATGAAAAATGGAAAACCTTTGTTGCCATAAAATGGATTTTTTGGAAGTTAAAGATTGTTTTGTCATTTGTTGGACACTCCTAATTCCTCTGATAATTTTCTCAGGGCAACGTCGTTGGCTTAATTCTTTAACTGAGTTTCATCTTTGCCTTGTTTTCCCCACATTTTTATTCTCTCTTTCTAGGGTAAGTGTATTTATTCCATATGTGGCCTCTTGTTTCCAGACCGGCATCGCTCGGTTGTGCTGTTCATAGCACTTATTTCTCCTTCCCCCGTAAAGTCCGCTCGCCCCTCCTGCTATCTGTCCATGTGCCTTCCCGTTACTTTCCAGCCCCGGCATGGGAAGACCAAACTGACGGTTGATTTCAAACACAGAACGTAAGAGCAGTTACCTTGTCTTTCGAGCTTGAATCTTCCAAAGTCTTTTCCATGAATATCACCTTGAAAAGTAAATCCCCCTCTTTCCAGTCCTGATGAAACCTGATATGCATGAAAAGGAAGAAAACAACATACGGCAAGGATTAATGGCATGCTCCTTGACGGCCCAGCAGCTGTATCTCTCACGGCGAGATACTACAGTTAGATATTCCTGTCCTCGGTCCTGCCTTCCAGGGATACTGGAGCAGTTAAAACTGGAAAAGACCTATGTGAACTTCAACTCACATCTACATTCTCAGTATCTCATTTTTACCTAGAAATAGTAACATTTACAACATATTCATAGGTTAACCATCCTTTGTGCAGGGGACTGTTACATGAATATAACCCAGACGACATCAAAATCACTTTGTGACCCAGCTCTTGGCCGGTGAACACCACGTGACGCCGTATGCTCTTGCGTCAGATAACACGTTAGAACACACACCATGGTTGCCTTGCGGAGAAGGATCTCAATGAGTCCTGGGAAGTCTCCATATCTAGGAATGAGCTTTTATTTGGACTTTTGGAGTGGTTACCCGGTGGTTGGGTTCAGACTCCTGCTGGAATGTGCCATTAAGCACAGGACGTGGATCTAAGCTCTTGTTCTGTCCCCAGCGGTAACTACTCATTTGTTTGTCATTCCAGAAACTAGGTTTCTTCCTTCTTAAAACAAAGGGGTAAAAGGACCATGATGTTTGCGAAGCAGAGGGAACAATGTGTTTTCAAGGGGCAGATGCCACCCGGCTCCCATTAGCAATCCCCTGCTGGCGTCCTTTTCCACCTCACACAGACAGCAAAGGTCAGCCCCCTGTGCTGAATAACAGTCCCCACAGAGAGTACTTACATAACCAGCTAGTCCCCAGTTGTCATTTTCAAACTTGCTTACAAAAATATCTGCAGGGCCTTTAATTTGAAAAGCTTTCAGAAGTAAGTGTGCCTCTTCTTTCTTATAAACGCCTACCAAAAAAATAATAATAATAACAGACATTATTACTTTTATTCTTACATTGTCACTTTAGTCCCTCTGTTTTCTTCAAAAGCATTTCCTGATTAAGGCTTTTCCTAGCTTGGATGGGTACAACCCATTTCATTAAACTCAACATCTCCATCACACAGAAATCAAGGTAATACTCGTATTCATTTATGTCATTATTTTTTTAATCTAGCATTTTAAATTCATATTGCACTCATTTCTGAGGACAAAGAGACTAAGACCATAAGTGTAAATCTTGCTACTTCTACAGATGAGTTGCAGCCCTGAAATGAAATGAACAGCGTGGTGGACAAAGTGTGTTGGGCGTGCTTGTGTCACCGGCTGATTCTGGGCCAGAGGGACTCGAAGGTCACAGCTCCAGCCACCTGTGAGGCAGCTGGAGGGAGAGCTTAAGAATGTTGCCCAGAGAGGAGAGGTCACGGTGTGGCCAAGGGGGCCGGGAGGGTGTGCCAGCAGCCAGAGTGCTGCCCACCCACGGGAGGAAATAGATAAACCAGGAAACAAACAGGCAAGCATTAAATGGATAATAACATGCCTGAATGTCCTCTCTGCGGAGAAGACAGGTTCAAGGTTCAAGGAGGATCTGGGTTCGTTTCAGGGAAGAATGGGGGGAAGCTGACCCACCATCATTCTTTCTAAATGTCAAGCCTGAGTCTGTCCAGTGGTGAGCAAAAGTAGGGGCTGCCCAGGGCCTCTTGGAATTCAGACCCAGGGCCGCCTGGTGGGTAACTCAGGGAAAAGCCCAGCCCTCGTGTACAAAAGGATACATGGTTATAAAAGTGACATAAATGAAAATATTTAAAAAAAAAAGACATTCAATGTAGTCATAAAGGTGATAGGCATCTTAGTGGTTAAGAGTATTGACTCAAGATTCAGATTTCTGAAATTCGCATTCCTGAGTTCAGATGGCCTGTCTACCGTGTCCCCTTAGGAAGGCCACTAGAGTTTTCTGGGTCTCTCTCTGTCTCTCGTCGCCCTGTTATCAGTAAAGAACATGACTGATACAAATGCCCATATCATGGGCTTGAGGTAGGACTGAGGAAGATAATGTATGTAAGTACGCAAGATGGCGTCTAGCATCTGAACCAAAACTGTTGCTATTTTACTAACAGTGGGATGACCCCACCCCAAAAGAAGAGAAAAGAAAAGAAAAGAAAAAAGAAAAAAGAAAAAAAAAAAGTCTCCTGAGGAGCATGTGAGTTGAAGAAAAGGAAACTGTAAGAAGAAGTTTGGAGATAGGCACATCTGGATATCAACCTCACACCTTTGACTCAGTCTGTTATGGGCATAATCTGGAGCAATAATGAGATTTTCTGTACTGGTTTTGTAATCTTCAGAGAGGAGAATACTGACCTCCCCATTACTCAGAGGGTCCCAGGAGATGTAGTTGGTGCCAAGCCAATGGACTGTTAAGGAGCGTGTGATCGACGTCAGCCCCCTCCCGGGTGAGAGGGTCAAGGTGTATTAGTCTACATTCTGCAGTTCCTAAAAAGCAATGCCCCAGGGCCTACCTGTCAACTTCAGCTCCACCTGAGAGGCCTCCAGGAAGGTCGCGTTCACCTTGCTGCTCGTGGCATTGAACCAGTCCACCGTTAGAGTTGCGGGCTGTCTCTTCCCTAAATATTCATAATATCCCTTCCACACGGAATTGATAAAAAATACATCGGAAGGAACTGTTGGAGGGGAGAAAAACCAGAGCAATGTTAGCACACATGGAAAAATTAAGCCAAGATCTTTTTCACAACACAGAGGCGTACTAAGAGTCAAGTAAGCAATCCCGATCGGGATGGTGATGAGGACAGACACGGCCGGTCCGGGGCCCTTCACAGCGTAAGTGGGATGGAAATGAAATGAGAAGGGGGATGTTTGTGAGATGCACGTTCATATGTGTTTGTTGATTTGTTGGAGGAATACTTTAGATGTCAAAGCTCTCCTGTCTGAGTGGACCTGCCGGGCCAGAGGGTGGGGTGAATCAGTACTCCCTCCAGGAGGGTGGGTTACTGGGCCATAATGAGCACATGGTGGCTGAGCCCGTAGTGATATTTCTTTAATGTCCAGATGGACTCTCTGGAAGCTTAGAAGGCTCAGAGAGCTGCCCTGTACCATCTGCCAGGAGTCCCTGGCCCCAGAAAGCTTGCACTGAAAGTGCCATCAGAGGACATCAGCTCAGTTCATGAAGGCAGGGCTTCTCTGAGTCCAGAGATCTTTACCTCACAAGGAGAGCCCAACCCACTCACCCACACTCCTCCAAGCTTGTGAAAAACGCTCCCAGGTCGCTAAGAAGTCAGAGCCACTGTTGTCAAATGTCATGTACATAAGGAAAGACACATCTCTCCCTATGATTTTTGGCAAATCCACTTGCAGCAACTCGTGATGAGCCCACACATAGACTGGGCCTACGTTTATGGGCCCCTCTTCAGGACCATTTCCCTGTCTTCCCAGACCAGCTCCATCCATGAAACCTACCCTAGCCATGTTCAAAAAGAAGAGTGTGTCATCCCTTCCTGTGGCTCTCAGTAGACTCAACCTATAATAATGATCACTTTGAGAAGTTAAATAGGCTAGAAACTATGATTATCAGCATAGACATCTAACACATCTGATGATTGATAAGGGATGTTGGACATGTCTACCTATCCACAGGTGGCCTCCAGGGGCCAAGGCTCAAATGCCAAACCCAAGGACTTTCTTTTCCTTTACCAAAATTAATACCCTTTAGAATAATGTCAAGATTGTTTCCCCTAATTAGAACATGCCCTCTCAGAGGAAGCTATTAATGTACTTGTTCAACCTGTCCCTGAGGTGAGAGTCTTGGATGGTGTGTCAGTTGGGTGGGTCATGCCTGACTGGAAAGAGTAAGGGACAACCAGAATCCCAGAGGCAGCTTGTTTGTATCCAAATAAGGCCATGGGCAACGTGGCAAAGATGGTCCTTCAGGGCCCTTCTGGTTTGCAGTGTAACACCACATCTGGATGTGGACGCGTGTTAGGCTGCATGACCTCCACAAAGAACCACATTCCATTAGCAAGACCCTCCCTAGGGAATGAGAAGAGGGGCACTGATGGGAATGGATGTGCCTTCAACATAAATTATGTGAGTGTGTCTGTATCTTTAACAAAAAATAAGCAAACAAAAACAGAACAAACACACCACCACCACAACAGATTGTTTCCTTCCCCTGAAGACCATGTTCCTGGATAAAGAGTACTGATTTCTGTATTTGACTTGAACTTGACATTGGAATAGAATAATTCGTAATGATTTTCAGAAGTAGCTTTTATCCTTCATGGTGTACATTTGAAAAAGTCCTTTCATCACGTTGGGACATTTGCCCTCATCTGAGACAGACGTGTGTTACACAGCATTGTGATTTAACAGGAGGATTACATAAATGGTCTCCACAGGTGAGGTCAGCTTAGACCTTCCTGTCTAAGAAATCAGTGTTAAAACCTGAATAAGGAAAACACTAGGGAAATGACCTTATATATTTATAAGTTTTCTATTTCTGTTAAAAAAAGTTGACTTAAGGTATAATTTGGGGACACACTGAATTATTAAAATAGTCTCTATATTTATAACAGATAGAATAGGCCAGCTGATTTGGAGTCATGAGCGTCTTCTTTGGGAAACGGGACTTCATCTCTCCGATTTTCTGTGTCATGCACTTAGCAACACACCACATACAACAAATAGTGAAAATTTTAGGAGGCAGAGGATGCCTGAATGATGGAGATACTTGGGGGAAAAAAAAATGAAGCTCCTCATTTTTACTGCTCAAGGGGACAGGCGATACTGTCAAAAGGCTTCATTTCTATTAGCTTCCTGTTTAGAAGAAAGAATCACAACCCTCTTTATAAGGCTCTCCATTATATCACATTCTGTTGTCAACATTTTACGTCCAGTTCTGCCCACAAAATGCTGAGCCCCTCTGCACGAGACGGCGTGTGAGAAGGCCAGAGGGGTTCCTCCTAATCAAGTCTTGTTTTTCCTTTGACCAACCACCATTACAGAAGAAAGAGGAATCAGTATAAACTTGGTGTTTTCCATAATTGCAACATTAACTCCTTCATGGACTAATGGAATCGGAAATTTGTGTGTTAAAACTTGTTTCACTGTGCAGAGTAGAGAACAAGTCACTTATTGGATTGAAATCTAGAACTGTTCTGGTATACAAACCTGGAGTTTTAGTAACTGTTTCATTAACTTCTCTCACTCCTTTACCTACAAGTAAAAAGACAAATTATCATTTTCAAAAACATGTATTTTTGAATAAGTCTGAAAAAATGTCAAATTGAAGCAATTTTCCTTTCTCCAGATTTCTTGAGGTTCTACAAAATATGAATGTCATATACATAGCCACTTTAAACCCCTGTATTCACAGCAGAATATCCTTCGTGTTTGTGGAAAAATGGAGATTACTGGTGCAAACCAATGCCGCTGTAAGAGGCATCGTGTGTTACAACAGAGAGCCTTGCAAATGAGGGTGGGTTATGGCCCTGTGCTCACTCCTGTTTGGGAAGTACTGGCCGCAAAGGGAAGATGGCCTACAAAATCGCTAAGATTTCATAACCTCTTTTAATTTTCCAAGGCCTCGCCCAAATTGATAGAAGTATGAGTGGATAAGGAATAACACCACATCGTTTCCCTTGCGGACTGTTTAATTTGGTCTATCACGTTGGATTGAAATCAAAATCTCTGAGCCTTTACGGTTCCGTGTCAGACTACAAATTACCTTTCTAAAGTTGGTTTTCTTCCATTTCTGAGAGTGAAGGTTGAGGGAAACACAAATGCCTTATGAATTCCTCATTTGATAACTATAAAGAGGCTCCAGGAAAGGAGAACTAAAGTCACAGATTTTATCACACTCCATAATTTTCCTTCTGCTGTTAGTGTTTGAGGCCTGTATGATCAACGTTTGGTGGAGCATCTGAGAGATCAGCTATTGTCAAATCTGACCCTGATTCATTACTCTTATTTGTAACTGCACAAAATTGTGAGGAATTAATACATTTTCATGCTAATTGCTTTCATAATTTAAAGGATCAGAGCTTTGTAAAGAGTAGGTCAATGTAAATTCCACCAGCAAACAGCTCGTGGTCTTAAAAATAACAGGTAGTTTAGTTTATATGTCCACCAGTGCTTGGTGATATTCGCCCATTTGCGTTTGAAAAATGTACATTTTCCAAAGCTATGGTGCATATTCCTGTCCTTTTAACTCATAATGCTTTTCTAGAGGCAAACAGCTTCTCTCCGTGGCTTAAAGTGTGAATAGCAAATAATACTAAGTACAGATCGGCTTTCACCGGGCCTCCGTTGTACCCAACACTGACTACGCACACGTTCACACACACAGCTCACCACATGGACACAGATTCGGCTGGGGTGACTGACATCACTTCTGTGACGCGTCGTCCTGGTGGACCTCACACCCGGAAGCTAGCCGGGTGGGCTGCTGGCGCTCCTCTGTGCTGGGCAAGGATGTGCGCTCCCTCCCTCACCAGTGACTTACTTTTGCAGACGGGTGATTTTCCTGTCCATTTCATATCTGCTTTACACGTCCTGTGCTCAGACCCAGCCGCGAGGAAAAATCCCGGATGGCAGGTGTACACCAAGGTGTAACCGAAGGTGGGGAGATCGATCGCTCTCACGTCCGCGTTGGCTGGCGTCTCGGGCTGTCTGCAGGTGTGGGCTGAAACAGCACATATTCCGTTAGAAAACACAGACCGTTGTTTATGATAGACTTAGCACATGCATCTAAAGAAATAAGGAAATATGCCAAAATTTGGAAATGACTGTAAAGTCAAAATTAAAACAGAAAATTCTGCATACGGTAGCTTTAAATATCCCCCAAATTCTCTGCAGTGTTTAAAATGCTGAACACTTGGGATTTTTCAGATCTCTCTACTATCCCTCCCTCCCACCCTCCCTCTAAGTATCTATCTGTCATCTATCTATCTTTCTACCTATCTACCCATCCATCCATCTAATCCCATTCTCTACATTTATGTGTGTACAATCAATTATGTGTAGAAATTTAGAATATAAATCACAGCATTGAAACGGATCACTTCTGACATACTATTCAGATAAATAATACATTAATTGCCCTAAAAGACCAGTCCTATCATCTAAACAAAATGGGCAAATATTTAGAAATATGCCTTGATTTTTGTCTGATGGCAGGTAAGAAATCTGTTATTCAGTTAAATGAATAGTCAATTTTGGTAAAAACTTAATTTGTGTTTAGAAACCTAATTTGAATATTATCGATTCTTATTTCCCTGAAAATCTGATTTAAGAGTGAATAAGATTGCAATGTTTAAATCTCCAGTAACTTCTCTTTCTTTCTGAAGTTCATACGTACGTCTCAAGTGAAGGACTTGACCGATGATTATAAAACAAGCTGACAATATAAAACTGACAGATGCAATTGTTTCCAGTGTCAGGATATTTTATGCTTCCGTAAATTTTCAGCATATGAATACCAGGTATTTTCAAGCTCCAAGCTGTTCCGACTCCCACATGTGTACATATAGACATATATGCATGCTGGCTGTGCATGTGATCTCGCATATGTAATTTGACTAGAGTATTAGCAACGATAATTTTGAAATAAACACACTTCTAATACTGAGAAATACACAAAAAATCATATCTTACATACTATTAAAATAATTTTTCATAACATTCTATTTTTTTTTAGGTTTAACACAGTAAGACTAAGATTCTGTATCTTACTAAAAGGATAGAGGATGAAATACTGGCTTATGGATGATTCCTATAACATTTCTTCTATTTCTCATGATTAAGTCAAAAAATAAAATTTGATCCAAAGTAATGATTTGAATGACCAATTCATATAGAGTTCAAAAATAACATTTAAAATATTTCTATTAATATTGTGACATATCCCGTGATCCATTTTACCCTTCTTTCATGAGCTGATGTGAACATTCTAGAAGAAAGCACACTTAAGAAAGCTTTCTTTCTGCGGGTGTAACTGATGGCATTCACCTATCTTCCGTTTGGGCAGGTTCTCGGACTTGAGTGTGCCCCACTACCACCCGGAGGGCCCGCTGAGTTACAGACTGCTGTTCCTGCCCTTTGCTCCCACCTGTACCCCAGCCCCCGAGTTCCTGATTCTGTAGGTCCTGGGGTGAGGCTTGAGAATTCAAATGCTACCACACTAGCACGGTCTGCTGATGTTGCCGGTCCTAGGGAGTCAAACTCTGAGAAATTCTGGTTTTGGGAATCAAAGAAGATCCAACAAACAAAAATAGGGCAGCTCCTCATTATTTCTCTGGAGGGTAAACACCTCCTAGACATCCGAGAATAAACAGGCCATTTCTGGCTGTGGGGGAAGAAGTAACACTTACGTATACACTCAGTCTGAATTCCACTCCAGGTTAAATTTGCGAGGCAAGTGCGGGTCGTAGAACCTTGAATGTGGTAGCCTTTCCTGCACCTGAAAAACACCGTGCTTCCAACCTACAGAGGAAATCCAACATTAGCTCTGGGGCAGAGCAGACGGACGTGACATAAAGCCATCCTGCTGGGAAGTGCATCCCAGGGTGCGCCACACCAGTGCTACTTCTCACCAGCATTGGGACACTGTTGTTCACATCCTGCGTCACGGCTAGGCCGCTCCACGCATGAGGAGACTCCGCTAGACACAGTGAATGATGGCCAGTCACGAGGAGTTTATTTGGGTAACAAAAATGTGTTTTTCTCTTTCCTTTCAGCCTTCCTCTTGGTTTGTGATGATGATTTTTCCCCCTTTTCCATTCTTTCCCTGCTACTCCATTTGGTATTTATTAAATAATTACTTTTGTTAATGCTTCTGGGAGCCGGCCAACTCCTGCTCTATTTTAGGATGTCTCAAAACTCAATCTGTTCCCCTGAAGCCTCAGATACGTGAACTACTTGTTGCCACCTGCATGTCTAAAATACTTCCCTCTGGACCTTCGCAAGCTAACCTCCCCCGCCCCTTAATACTCGGTATTTTGGTAAATTTCACTTCCTCTGCACATTCTCTCCTGTCTTGCAAGAAGGCGTCATACATGGCTTAAGACAGCATTCGGGAAGGGTCTGTATGTTTATCTGCCTTCCTCACCTAACAGGACGTGCCTCGAAGGGAAATCTGCAGTGCTCTGTAAAGATGTTTTTAAAGGATGAGTTAGGGTCATGTGTTGAAGGGAACCAAACAACTCCCCTGATCACTTATGCCCGGGACATGGGACCAGGTTAGGGGGAAGAGAAAAGGGCACAGAAATGAGCTCACAGAAAGGTGGTCTGTGCCTGAAAGGCAGCTTTGTACCCTCTGCACTTGTGAGTGGAACCAAGTCTTTTCCTAAGGCATTGATTATGAAGCCAAGTGAGTGTACAGGAGAAGAGTCCATCTGGTCCTTGCTCTGAGGAGACAGACCCATGCTTCATTCATTGACCTTTGCTTTCTCATCTGTCCAAGTTCTCATTTCCCTCGTTGGGATTTGGGGAGGAATAACTGAGTCACATGTGTGGTAATAGTTGCTGCACTGAGCAGTGATTGTCCAAAAAACATAGCCATTTCTTGCCATTGGTGCCCAAAGTAGGGATTGGGGTTTATATAGAAAAAAAAATTCAAATTTATCTAAACTGACAAGGAATAAGGGATTTGAGATTCAGAGGTGGGAAAAGGTTAATCTGTCACCTGTCAGGATGGCCTCCACTGAATTTCCTTGTCAGCATGTCACTGACCCCATCAGACCTCCTGCAAACACGCTCGATTATTCGCTAGCGGGAAGACAATGGAGAGCCTCTCTCATGGAGGGGTAGGAGGAAAAGACAGTGTCCTTCTCGGTAAAGTATCTCCTAGCAGAAGGTCCCTGACTACTGCAGATCGATCGCTGTAAATTCACCTGGTGTTTAGAGCTGATGGGACGTGGAGGGCTAGAGACGAAAGGGTAGTCATTTGAATCTCACAATTAACACAGCAGGACACGAGATATTCTGAGACTAAAATGGCTCACTCTGCGTGAGCATGTTTCAGAATATGGTGCAGAAGGGAACAAACAAAAATCTGTTATATTCAAAACGTAATGTGTCTGATGAGCAAGAAAGAAAAAAAAATGTTTTGAGGAGATTCCTGACTGTGTCAGGCACCTCTTGAAAAGATGGTATCTGTGTCTGTAGCTTGTTCGCAAATCTCGCTTTTGGATACTATGTATCATTCTTTTTGGTGTAACTTTATTTTGTTATAAGGGGTGTGAGAAGTTTATCCATCCCTATTCCTGTTTTAGGAGAGACGGCAGGGATAGGCTGCTGAAAGGAGTCACCACAAATGTTGACTTCACATGGGCTCCTCAGGGATCTAGAAGTGCTCAAACCAGTGGTGAGTTGGCAAGAGCTAACTCACATGCAGTATTGCCCAGGAACCCCATGTATGTGGCATTACAGTTCTACATGCCAGAAAGCATTGACCTGAGGATTCAGCCATATTGGAGACCTGATATCAAATACACCAGATTTAACTCATTAGGCACCCTTATGACTTTCCTTTGTAGGGTGTAAGAATGCCATCAGAAGTAACCGATGTGTGTTAGAGCCAACCAAACGAAAGTTTTAGGTTTTAGAATTTTTAGGTTTCAGTACAGACTGGGGGGAGGGGCTGAAGAAAGAAGTCTTTTATTCTGAATTAATGGGGTCCCTAACTTGAAAGCACTATACATATGTCACTAGGGCTTTCAAAGCCATGTCGTCATACAGCTCTGAAGTCACTCGATCACTTTAGATGGTGGAAACATTTTATTTCAGGCTTCATTACCTTCCATTTTCGGTATTCCTCTAATAGTACCTAAAGCGTTCATGTATTTTTTTTTTTTTTTTTGCGTTCATGTACTTTTTATTTAAAGAGTCAAATGAACGTGAAAAGCGATACTGAGCATGCCAGTAATTCATACAGAGGGATCACACAGAAGAGAAACATCACAACGTAGGTGTACGCTAAAGGGTCCGCATGCATTTTCTCCAGTTTTTGACTCGAAAATGTACTACTCTTTTCCCATTATATCAGGTCACTAAGCAGGGCCTTTTTCTGTGTAGCTACTCGGTGACCAGTCACTCCAATTTGAGAATTGCTGTGTCATTTCAGCGGACAAAAAGCACCCAATTATGCACACTTTCAGATAGAAATTAATACGGCAACTGATACTGTGTGAATGAAGAGACACCCAGCTATCCCAATTCTGACAGTTAAAGCCTCAGGCACAAATCCTCTCTGGATGTATTTGTTTCAGAAATATACTGTGAATCAGACGGGGGGCATAAAAACATGTACATATGTTCAGGTGTCGTCTCTATTTTATACTTAGAGAGAAACACAGTACAATAAAAGTGGAATACCTCATATCCTCTGGAGCTATTCTGTATCCCAAAGTGTGGAGTACCAGGGTCTGGGCAGGAATTATGAGCAGGGTCTGAATTTCACATAGGGGGGAAAAATGAAAGAAAGAAAGAAAGATAGAAAGAAAGACAGACACACAAGTGCCAGATATTGTTATTATAAGGATTCCAATATTTTTACTAAAAGGTCTTACAAAATTGAGAAAATTATATTTTGACAAATGTATGAGATTTTTGCATGAAAGTTAAAAATTAAAGTAAATTGCTATTTTCATCTTCCTTTCACACTGTAGGTATTGCCCTTTAGTCCTTTACCAGATTCTAAAGTGATCTGTGTATTATTTTCTGTGTTGGAATGAACATTCTTTCCCATTTTCTGGTCCAACATACTATATTGGCTGTTTCCTGATACACTATCTTCAATAATTATGATCCCTTAGATTTAAGGATTTAATTAATGACAATCTCTTTTAGTCATCCATCACCTTATTGCAATTTCTTAAATTCATTTTCTTTGAGAATTCCAAATGAGAAATACATTGAATGCTTCAAAATTGAGACACATGGTAGACCCAAAGTCACATTTTGCCCCTCAGTACATGTACAACTTGAGCAAGGAGGAGCATGGAGCTTCATTATTTGCTGCTCTCTAGCCGCCACGGAAACATTTGTTTTCAAGAGAAACATGGGAGGGAGGAACACCTGTCTTAGTATCGAGCTAGCAAGCGTGTAGCAATGGTTTGAATGAAACAGCAGTAACGTGACTCTTATTAAAAACAAACAGTGTGGGACACCTGGGCGGCTCAGTGGGTTAAAACCTCTGCCTTCGGCTCAGGTCATGATCCCAGAGTACTGGGATCGAGCCCCACATCGGGCTCTCTGCTCAGCAGGAAGCCTGCTTCCTCCTCTCTCTGCCTGCCTCTTTGCCTACTTGTGATCTCTGTCAAATAAATAAATGAAATCTTAAAAAAAAAAACAGTGATTCAGTGAGTTTATTTCTGAGCACCTTTGTTTTTAAGTAGAAATCATTCCATTTCTTAGAAAACAACCAGGACTATAAATCATTAATTGTTTCCTGCAAACATGCAGAACATCTCTTTTTCAGCTCAGTACAGCTGGGTGAAAAAAATTAGCCCATCAGTAAATAAGTCTGTGGCAGTGAGGTCTGAAGAAATCTGCTCTTAGTGGAAATGAACCATTCTGGTATCTATGCCACTAATAATGTGGCTTTTGACAAATACAACTTGTATCTGAATCCTCTGCATGAAACAGAAATTTCACCTAAAAATGTGGGATTTAAATCACATGGAAAGCATCTTCTGACTTGCAAGATTCATTGTCATATTCTCGGTCACCAGAATGTATGTGCCCCAGTCCTCCCATCACTGTTAGTGCGGGTGGCTCGGGGGGACAGACCTGTGCACAAGAGACAGGCACCGAGGGGACAGGCACTGAGCAACAGCCAGGCTGTCTTTCCCATGGTGGCTGCTCTGGAACAGGCCAGTCCTAGCATCTTCAACAACACTGTCTTCCCCTACAAGAATGCACCTGCTGCTGAGGTGGGGACATGGAAACAAGAGAACAAAGTGTGGCAGGTGTTTTAATAGCCTCCTAACTTCAACTCCAAATTTGGTCTGTACCATTTAACCAGAGTAGCCAATGAGAGCTTCCACAGAGAATGATCTATGGGAACATTGTGGGAACAACTATGGGAAGAAATGATCGGATGTTAGAGAGAAGGTCCGTATTCCCAAGCACCCTCAGGGCTGCCTCTTAGTTCTTACCGATGCAGGTGGGCTGTGTGCCACTCCACGTGCCGTCTGCCTGGCAGGTTCTTCTGGACGACCCCACCAGTACAAAGGGAGATTTGCACTGGAAGAAGACTTCTGACTTATAGGTGAAGCTTTTGCCACTGAGTCGCGCCTCCGCAGGGGTGCCTGGGTCTCCGCAGAAGACAGCTGTGGAAGACAACAAGGAGTCAGCTAATGGTCTGCGTCTCTGGGTCAGATTAACTTCTCCAACTTGTGTACTGGGCGTCTGCAAAAATCTTTGGTATCACTATTCAACCCATCGATGACTGAGGGATCTGCCTTGAGCAGGGCGGCCTCGAATGAGAGCCCCTGCCTCCCGTGGCAGGGCCAGCAATGACGGGGACTGGAAATCGCTCACGTGGGTCCAGCACATGGAACCCCAGGAGCCAGCACTGCTGGAAGACTTACGCAGGCACTGGGGGACCTCTCCTTTCCACACGCCGTGGCCTTCGCAGGAGAGGATGGCGGAATGAGAGGGCTGGAAGCCATCCACGCAGCTGTAACTTACGCTGGCACCCCAGCGGAAGTCCGTTCCCTCCACTTTTCCATGCAGCACGTGAGGTGGCTGACCGCACATGACAGCTGTTTCCAAAAAACAGACGAGACTGAACGTCCAGGGCCTCTGCCCCGCTGCAACCCTCAGATGACCCACATTTTCATTTCACCCAAATTATAAATGACATCTAGGTTGGGCTGTTTTCTTTCAATAAAAGGATGATTGAGGAAGACAACAAATGAAAATAATAAAACTTTTCTCCAGCATTTCTTCATTAATTTAGATCAAGTACAAAAAAGCAAAGCCAAGTCACAGCATACCCCACTGTAAGAGAAAGCAGGATTGAACGTGACCTTCTCAGTAGGTACAAGGCCAAGAAAGGAAGAGATACTCGTATTTAATACGTGTCTTTTCATGGTGGCTCCAGAGGACAAATCACTCATACAGCATGAGCACAACCTTCTGGATTTATGTGCACAGATGGTAAACTCCCTGTATTTTTCACATCTAAAGATAGCACATAAGATCCGGAGATATAGACTGTTGAAACATTGGCTGAGTCATTAAAAACCAGGGAGTTGCATGGTTACAGAGGTTCTGTGCTATACTCCTAGCCACTGCTGCGCAACGTCCCTGAGCCTGACGTTCACCTTGCGAGGGGCCGCAGAGATGAGCACGGTTCTTACAGATGATCGGCAGCTCACGCTGGCCCCACATGGCCCCTCCCAGTCTGGCCGTTACAGTGCAGGGCACTGGGGAACACTGCACACATCTTCCTGGGAGAGCCAGGAGCTTTCTGGATTTCACCCACTCTGGAGGAAGTGTGCCAGTGACAGAAGGCAGCAGGAGAAGGGACTCAGCTGTACGTATGTCCTCACCCATGTTTTCTCCTGTGTGCTCACACTCACACATCCTCATGTGAAGAAGACACAATCACACGCAGAATCACACGTGCACAGCCAGCAGCTGGAAACAGGTCTTTCCAGTGCCCTTCATCTCAGGCATATTTTCAACCAATGTTTCTGAGAATGCACATGGTAGTGGGCGGGAAACATGTGCTCTGGACAGGAGAAGCAAGTGGACAGTCCTCCAGGCGAGAACAGTGATGAGTCATGTGGTTCCACACAGGGCATGAAGGGGGGTCAAGCCTGAGACCAGTTCAGAGGGTGAAAATGGTCTCATCTGGAAGGGCCTGGTTGGCCATGGAGGTAATGACACCCACCCTATCAGAAAGGGAAACAGAAGTTGACGAAAACACAAGATATCCCAGAGAATGGACCACTGTACGGGCCGCTGTCATCAACATCAACAGATGAGTAGAGCCCTCTTGACACTATGCTGTGAGTTTCAGTCAACATTGTCTAGTGCTGGCTTTGCAATGGCACCACGTTAATATGGCAGGTGGAAGGACAGGTGACACGGTGATCCCTACCCCCAGTGGGAGGGAAACAGGGTCCCAGAACTTGGCTGCCTCAGAAGGGAGAGGAAGCCATGTGCTTGAGCACTGGGCTCTCACTGAGGCTCACACCAAGCTCTGTCCTCATGAAACCCAAGCCCGTCTGTCTCTCGGAGCCCACTGACGACCACACCACTGCCCAGCATCTAGCACACGACTCCCACAGCACCGTCTTCGATCCTAGGCCAATAAAGAGCCAGGTGCCACACTCGTGTTTGGGGCCAGCCCTGCTAATGTCCCAGCTCTCTCTGTGGCCCTCCCACTCCACTCTGGCCCAGCTGAGAAGAAATCCTGTGTGTGTTCCCTGCAGTTGCTGGCACAGGGGTCCAAACCATGCAGACCCCTGCCTATGGACAACTTCCACTGGGCCCCCTCCTCCATCGCCATCAGAGCCCACCCCTGCTGCTCTGCCATTCAGGCCACTTGAGGCTTCAGCCTGCCCTGCTTTCCCTGAAAAGTCCAACTGCATGAGTCATACATGTTCTCATACCACCTCCATATTCCCATGGCAGGTTCGGTCCCAGCAGCCGGACCCCCCAGAACACCATGGTACTTAGGTTCTCTGCCATTATTTGATGATCAGCTTCTCTGTCTAAGCTGACTTGAAAGTCCTATATTTACACTTCCTCATCATCTCTGCTGTAAGCCTTAATAGAGCTGGGGTTAACATGTGTATCAGGAGAGAGGAATGTGCGGATATTCAAAACAGACTTAGGGGCACCTGGGTGGCTCAGTCGGTTAAGCATTTGCCTTCAGCTCAGTTCATGACCCCAAGGGTCCTGGGATCAAGTCCCATGTCAGGCTCCCATGTCAGGATCCCTACACAGGGGGGAGTCTGCTTCTCCCTCTCCCCTTAGGGTGTGCTCTCTGTCTCTCAAATAAATAAACAACATCTTAAAACACACACACACACACACACACACACACACACATTAGTGGTAGCATGCTTGTCGTCTGAGTCCCAACACCTCTTGTCTCTGATTTGTACCCTGACCCTTTACTAACTCTGCGAGTCAGTTTTTCCATCTCTAAAACTGAGATTACCGTATTAAGAAAATGAAGTGATTTTTGTTTGCAAATGAGCTTACAGGAACTCCTAGCACACAGAGGGACTACAAAAATGCTTGCAGATGCCGCAAATGTAACTCAGTAAACACTTCCATGTGCGTAAGACCAAGAATGTGATGGTGCGCACCTTTGCAGACCGGTTTGCTGCTATTCCACGTACTGTCTTTGGTACAGCGGATGGTGGATGATGTGATGGGCTCCATGAGGTAGCCGGGATCGCACTGGTAGCTCACGGTCTTATTGAAGGTGAAATCTGTCCCAAACTGGATGCCATTTGCCAGGGTGCCTGGGTCCCCACAGCTTATAACTAATGAGCAGAAGACGACCAAAAAAGCATTAGAAAAATACAAAATTACCATTAAATAGTCATGGTTTCTGTTCAAGTTACTCCTCTTAAGTGGCAATTCAACATGATTGAGCAGAAAATTGTTATAGGAACACCGTCGTCCTCTGACGACGCTCCTGACTGGCTGTCAGGAGACAGTGTGTTTGGAATGTGATCAGAGAATTAAATGTTTTCCTTAGTTCCCTGGAAAATAAACGGTCTACTGACATTTTTTTGGACCCAACTTTACAATGTCCAACCAAACTGGCCACTGAACAGAGTTTCAGCCATGTAGATTAGAAAGTGAAGAAAGAGCTCCAACTGTCTAACAAATCGTCACCGTGCAAACATGTGTATATCCTTTTATCCTCTATGTATTAAAAAAACAATAAAATACTTTAAAAAATAAATGAATCTTTCTCAGTCAAGTAGATATCATGGTCATGGCCTCAAGTGTCCATGACAGTGACCACTAACCTGTGCAGTCAGGGGCTGTACCCGTCCAGGTCCCGTTGGCCGTGCAGTGCCGCGTCATGAGCCCTGAGGTCTTGTAGCCTTCCCAGCAGGCGTAGATGACCGAGCTGGAGAACAGGATGCCGTCGCTGCTGACTATCATGCCATTGGTGGGCGTGCCAGGGTTTCCACAGGACACGGCTATGGGGGCAAGGACACAGAGAGAGTGAGCTGCTACCAAAATGACTAATGTCAGAGACCAAAGGTGATCAGTGTAGCAGATGACATATTTGTTTTTTTTAATAGGCTCTATTACTATGGAACAGGTGTGATATGCATTTTACTTTATGATTCCTGCCATTATTTTCTCTGTGAGTTACAAATGTGAAAGTTATATTGTCCTACTATTCCTCCTGAAGTACATTATTCAAAACAAATTAAAAGGTGAATTAAAGCACTGAAAATCCAACGCCTTGCTACTTTGAGATTTAGCATGTTTATAACACACACAAAAAAAGAGGATTGTTTTAGAGGATCTATATGGTATTAGCAACTCAGAAGGGCCTCCTTCATGTAGGAGCAGATATATTTTCTTTAATTTTGGACACATGAGGTCATACTGCACAACGGTTGGATAATTCCTGTTGGAACACGAGGGATGCCTGAGGAATATGAATTACGCCTAAACGGCCGGGCAGGTGATCTCCTCGTTGCTCCCCCTCTAACGGCCTCTGTGCTAGTTGGTGTTGGCATGGCTCCGCTCTCCACTTCTCTCCAGATGAAGTAATGCCACGTACGGGCAGCGAGACGCCGGCCGACGACAGGCAGGCTAACAGCTCCAAACTCCACACATGTCCCTCGCACATACTTCAATCAGCAAAGCAAACTCAGCAGCTTGGGGGCGTGTATCAAGGTGATGATTTTAACCCAGAACAAGAGTATTTTTTTTTTTTGCCTTTTGTACATGAGTTTATTTATCGCAGAATGTTAAGTTTTTCTCCCACACAATGTGCCGCCAGCAGTCAGAGAAAGAATGTGACCTTTGGCTGGATTTTAATAACGGGAATGTATCCTGAGACCATTTCTGAGAATGACCAAATATTTACAAATGCTGTGGCCTCTCTCATGGTTCCACTCTCAAACTTAGCCTTGAGAACAAAGATAGACTCTTCTTAGTACGGAAGGAAACAGATTATGAAATGTGCGTAGCATAGAACTGTCATGTAACAGACATTTAGGGACTCGCCCACCATATGACGCCGACGGTCAGCTCGGACTAGATCCTGTCTGACGAGCACAAAGCATGTGTGCTGGGGCTTCTCCACCTGAACCCACAGCAGACAGAGCCACTCTAAGACAACCCTTTCTCCTTGAGGGACCTGCTGTGAACTTACAACCCTTCCTCGCACAGATCTCTCCGCAGTTTCCTGGCTGCCATTGAAATGAGATCTATTTACCAATCGTGAAGCAGATGATACTTAACATTCTCCAAAGCTCAAAAGTTCTGCTATGGCTGTAATATCAATTGAAATGTCATATTGCAAACACACCAAGAGGTTGGACTCTCCAAGACAATTATTCAACAAACACTGATTTATCATTTAGTACATGACGGTTATTGGGTAGATGTACTAACAGAAAGCCTGGCATGGAAGAGAATTGTATTAATCTAAATCATAATTTAGCAAACCAAAAGACAATCATGTTCTTGTACTTTATTCTAATCATATCTGCTATTAAAATCTGTGTAGCAATTTTTAAAAGTCACCTGTAAAGGATAATGCTAAAATGAGACAAGAGATTGGTGGACATATTCAACTTAATTTATAGATACGTACATTGTCAGTAAGAGAATACCCATCATTATGGGTATTCACCCATTGTCAGTAAGAGAATACCCATCATGATGATGCCATTTTAACGTTTAGAAAGTCCCTCAAATACTGTGTTCTACAAAATCAAATTCATGGTTAACTTTTTTTTCCTCCCTGATAGGGACACTTTCACTTATGGTTATGCCCATGAAGATGAAGACTAGAAATTACCCTCAATATGTCTGTGTTCATATTAATGCCATCATGATATAGGAGGACCTCTTAAAGATAAATGGCAGCTTGCATTTATAGTCAGCAGAAGGGAAACAAGATTTTTTTATAAGTAAAAAATTAAAGCTCTTTAAATACTTCCTTTCTTTCCAAGTACATTTGGTTAACGTGACTCCTTCCAGTAAAAGATAATTTTCTTTTACTTGATTTATAATAAAAGGCCACTACACTTATGCCGAATCCACTTCCTGTCTACAGACACCAACACTTCACATAGCATGCTGTATTTCGATCATGGCTGTTAAGTTGAGCTAAATAGCTTTGGTATGAGTCTTGGCTCACACAACTTAAGTGAATGTGAATGACCAAGCTCTTGACATGTAGCATCTTCACTTTAAAATGGGTATAATAAAGGTGATTGCTCTCAGTTGTTTTAAGATTAAACACACACTGTGCAAAATGCCTTGAGCGCAATCTGGCATCTTAGCAGAAGTACGGGTACACATGGTAGCTGATGTGTTGTCATTTTCGTTATAATCACTCTCATCACACATCTATTACCTGTATGAGATGTAGGCCTTATCACAGTCTCATGGGAAAGCGGATTAAGAGTTGCATAAGGCAACTAAAACCAATGATATATTTAAGCAGTTTCCTAAGATCTATTCATTTGGAAAGTTCAGTCAATGAATCTATAATTAAAAGACCGGATTGCTAACAAAGAAAACATGATTGACATCATGGAAATATATTAGAAATATATTTGTACACTCTGAGGAGCAGAAAGACAAAAGAATGAACAAATGTGAAGATACCCAGTGGTATAACTGGCTCATCATTAAGTAGAACAATATATATATTACAGAAATCCCAGAGGAGATTAAAGTGAAAGAGACTGAGAGATCATTTGAATAAAAAATGGCTAAATCTTCTCAAAATTGATGAAAGACACAAATAATACAATCCAAGAAACTCAACAAACTCCATGTAGGATAACCTCAAAGAGACCAACAAAAACACAATCAAATTATCAAAAGATAGAAAAAATATATTGAAAGCAGCAAGAAAGAAGTAACTTGTTATGTACAAGGAAGTGTCTAGGATTATTGTCTGAGTTCTCAGAAAAAAAATTGATAACAAACACAATGAGAAATATATTCAAAGTTATGATGGGGGCACCTAGGTGGCTCAGTCATTAAGCATCTGCCTTCAGCGCAGGTCCTGATCCCAGGGTCCTGGGATCAAGGCCTGCATTGGGCTCCCTGCTCGGTGGGGAGCCTGTTTCTCCCTCTCCTACTCCCCCTGTTTGTGTTCCCTCTCTCACTGTTTCTCTCTGTGTCAGATAAATGAAAAAAATCTTTTTTAATAAAGTTATTTTATAAGAAAAAAAAAGAAATACAAGTTCTTTGATGATTAAATTTTTAGAATATTTTTATTTTGTGTTTTATGAAAGTTTCTTTTCTTTTCTTTGCCTTACAGAATCATTTTTTATTGTTTATTTATTTATTTTTTAATCATTTTTTAAAATTTATTTTCAGCGTAACAGTATTTATTGTTTTTGTACCACACCCAGTGCTCCATGCAATCCGTGCCCTCTCTAATACCCACCACCTGGTTCCCCCAACCTCCCACCCCCCCACCTCTTCAAACCCTTCAGATTGTTTTTCAGAGTCCATAGTCTCTCATTGTTCACCTCCCCTTCCAATTTCCCCCAACTCCTTTCTCCTAACTCCCCATGTCCTCCATGCTATTTGTTATGCTCCACAAATAAGTGAAACCATATGATAATTGACTCTCTCTGCTTGACTTATTTCACTCAGCATCATCTCTTCCAGTCCCATCCATGCTGCTACAAAAGTTGGGTATTCATCCTTTCTGATGGAGGCATAATACTCCATAGTGTGTATGGACCACATCTTCCTTATCCATTCATCCATTGAAGGACATCTTGGTTCTTTCCACAGTTTGGCAACTGTGGCCATTGCTGCTATAAACATTGGGGTACAGATGGCCCTTCTTTTCACCACAGAATGGGAGAAGATATTTGCAAATGACAGTACAGACAAAAGATTGATATCCAGGATCTATAAAGAACTCCTCAAACTCAACACACACAAAACAGATAATCATATAAAAAAATGGGCAGAAGATATGAACAGACACTTCTCCAAAGAAGACACACAAATGGCTATCAGACACATGAAAAAATGTTCATCATCACTAGCCATCAGGGAGATTCAAATTAAAACCACATTGAGATATCACCTTACACCAGTTAGAATGGCCAAAATTAGCAAGACAGGAAACGACATGTGTTGGAGGGGATGTGGAGAAAGGAGAACCCTCTTACACTGTTGATGGGAATGCAAGTTGGTGCAGCCTCTTTGGAGAACAGTGTGGAGATTCCTCAAGAAATTAAAAATAGAGCTTCCCTATGACCCTGCAATTGCACTACTGGGTATTTACCCCAAAGATACAGATGTAGTTTCTTTTCTTTTTACCATTTATTCAAGTGTCCCATCAGGTTCTAAGGCTTTTGGTAGATTCAGAAAAGATGATTCATCAGGAGAGAGTTGCTCTCAGTGGGCTGAATACATGGTCAAGGCTATCATTAAGTGGAAATGAAAAAGTCACTGATAAGCCCTTTCTATAGGTAATAATATGTGCCCCCCAAATCCAGACCTATGATAACAAGTGAGAAAAAAAACAAAACAAAACAGAAAGCTACAGATTGTCCAAAATTTTTTAAAGATGTGTGTTGGGGGGTGTGTAGGATCATGTACTTATCCCTTCCTGTCATTTGCCGTTCTAGTGAGAGTCAATTACACTATTATTTACTCAGCCTCCCATGATTTCTATAAGGTGCAGGTTTGGAGGGAGTCGGTTTTGTGAGGAATAGCGTAACTATTTGAAAACATCAAATGTATTTGAGAAATGCTTGCCATATTGAAACATTTCTACTTCTTTCTGTACACAGATTTTAATGGCCAAGTTTCTAAGGATTTTATAAGAAACACTTGAATTTCTAACTTTAGATAAACCAAATGTTACTCTAAAAATACTTGTATTTAGTCTGATTCAGGTGTATTATGAAGTGAAATCCAATTAAGCTCTCCTAATCAAATAAATGAATTCACTTGTTTTGCTGGAGTAGAACTCAAGGTGTTATATCACAGCACCAAAGTGAGATTTCTGCAGAAAGACATCACTCACTCTCAGCTGTTTTAAATTTTTTCAGCTTTTAAATGTGCAAAGTAAAGGGCTTTTTATATCAGTAAACCTGACATAGAATGTATAGACCCGTGCCCTCTCCAATACCCACCACCTGCATGGAGCACTGGGTGTGTTGCAAAAACAATGAATACTGTCACGCTGAAAATAAATTTAAAAAATTAAAAAAAAATTTTTTAAATTTAAGTTAAAAAAAAAAAAAGAATGTACAGACCCAAGTGAGCGACCATTCTTAATAGAATATCAGTGTATTTAAATGAGATTTGTTCTACTTTTAGGAGCTATATTTTCCCAAAAAATTTAGTAAACTTTGTTTGTGGGGGGCAGGTGTGGAGGGGCAGAGGGAGAGGTAGAGAGAGAATACTAAGCAGGCTCCCAAAATGGAGCCCAACATGGGGCTCGAGCTCACAGACTTGAGCTCATGACCTGAGCCGAAATCAAGAGTTGGTTGCTTAACCAACTGAGCCACACAGGCACCCCAATTTGGTTAACTTTTAACCAATAATTTTTCAAACATCCTTCTGCTCCATTCTTTCTTTATTTTTTTCTTCTAGAACCTCAATTAAAAGTATGTTGAAATATTTGATATTATCCCATAGGATATCATTGTTCTTTCTCCTTCTTCCTTTCTGTTTTCAAATTGAATAATTTTCACTGATCTGTCTTCATGTTAACTGACCCTTCTGCCATTTTTAACCTGCTAAGCTCATCTACAAAATTTTTTATATCAGATACTGTATTTTTTCAATTCCAGAGTTTCCATATGATTTTTTTTTTATTATTTTCATTTCTTTTGAGATTCCTTATCTGTTTACAACTCTAACTTCAGTGTGTGAAGATATTTTAAATAGCCTCTTCAAGCCCTTGTGCATTATTTTCAACATTTGGTTCATCTCAGGATTGTATTCTCAGGATAAGATTCTAATTTTATTGTCTGTTTTGTTTGTTTGTTTGTCTGACTATGGGTAATATTGTTATGAGGTCTGCATATGTAGTAATTTTTTATTGAATGCCAGACATTCAATGCCTAGAAATTCTTCTAGGATACTGAAATAGAACTTGCAGAACAGAAGAATTTCTAGGATACTGATACCTAGAATAATTTCTACTGCATCACCTCACCAAGCTCCTGGGTTTCACTTTCCAACTGCATAATAAGAAAAAAATACAGAATAATGGGGGGATTATGGGCTCACCTCCCTGATTTCTCCTACGCACTGTCTGTTGTTTAATAAAATAATTGTCTCATATATTTTGTTGATTTATAGTTGTCCTTGGTTAGAAGGCTAACCTATTTTCATTCAACATGTCATAGAGTGAAGTGGAGCTCTTATTTAGTTTTCATACTATTTAAATATATTCTGGACCAACAATTCCCAGGTATAGTATAGAGGGAAAAGGTTAGATGGGGTGTAAATGTAGGTTACAAAAGTCACGTATAACTTTGAGGTACCATATGATAGAATAGAAAACACTCTGTTTTTAGTGAGGAAGAGATTCTATCATGCAAATTTTAATATGCAAACTCTAAAAAAGGGGAGGAAACTGAGAAAATTGTGTCTGAGTCAGAAAAAGTCTAACAATTTAGAATCCCATATTCCAGGCAATAAAAGGTATCATTCTGCAACTCACAGCAGCAGGTGCCGTCCCACCACCACTATTCAGTCACGTGTGATTTCAGTCAACTTCTTTAGGGCCTAATATTAAGATTTATACTAACTTGATTGTCAGGAGGTGATTCAGAATCAAAAAGTACCCTGGATTATTATATATATGTATATCTCTATGTAGGTGTAGAGATCTCCAAGATAATTTTCCACTCAGATGAGAATACAGACATACATATATATAGGCCCAATGTGTATAAGATATGTATTTATTTTTTCATATATATGATTATATTATTTACATATGATTTTATGAGATTAAAAATGTAGTCTGGATACAATATAGTTAGATTATACACATATGTTATTTTCTATTGTTCTATATAATACATATAATAAAATGAGAGATAGGTATAAGAGAATAAAGAAAGTAAAGATTAAGAAAGTTGATTTATATTTCTGGTATTGATATTATGTGAGTTTATTCAAGTTGGTCAACTTACATAGAAAATGTTTCAGATATGTAAAAATGGATATTTATGTATGTGATATGGTGAGTGCTGTGAAATATGTAAGGCTAATGATTCACAGACCCATAACCTGGGGGAAATAATACATTGTATGTTAATAAAAATAATTAATAAAGTATAAAAATGAATATTTATCTTCTGTAAACATTTTGAACTCAAATAGTAAGTAATTGAGAAGTTTGTATGCTAAATATTTCTAACATTTAAGTCTTACGTATCTGCATTCTAAATCAGTTCCTTTTTGCATGCTAAACAAATTCATGGTATCTCATCACACCTTTGCTTAAGGTGAGCATTTCTAATACACAACACAGTAAGTTATTCATGGTCATTTACTGTTATTACTGAGGTATCCCACCATGTCCTCTTATGCCTCTCAAATATTAAAATAAAATATATTTGGTCTAAAATATACAGAGAATCACCCTGGGATCTTTGATGATGCAGTGTTTTTGACAAGGGCCACCAACAGCCTGGAAATAACAGGGAAGCGAGGCATATTCCAGCCTGCAGAATTTCCCATCAGCGATTTATACTGCTTCTGCTCACTGTTCCTTCTGCTCAGCTATGCACTACCGGCAGCCACGAAACACCACCACACCACATAGAGGTTATTATTAGACCAGAAATCTCTTCTAGGTTATGAACGTTCAAAAAGTTAAGGATCTGTGTTAGATGATCTTTTGAATAGCGAGGCTATCTACATGTACCCAGTCAGGAGTTGTGATGATTCTCTTAGACATTTCGGGGGAAAGTAGTTTAGTGATACAAAGGTTCAGTGTCTTGGATTTCTGTAGAACAGTACCCCTCATTTTAGAAAGAAATACATAGTTTCAACTGCAAAAGTTGACCTCGTGACTTGAAGGTACTCACCTTCACACACAGGCTGCAGTCCAGACCACGAGCCATTGAGCAAACAAGTCCGCTCAGGAGAGCCCCTCAGCTGGTAGCCCACTTCACAGGAGAAGCGGAGAAGGCTCTTGGCCTTGAGTTCATCTCCAAGGCGGGACCCATGTGCTGGGGTCCCGGGATCGCCACAAAATCCAGGATCATTTCCTATTGAACAGAAACACAAATGGTGAAACACAATGTTGGTAGACAAGTTTGTAACAGAGCTGTTATGTTTAAAGAGAACGAGAAGTTATTTATTTATTTATTTATATTTATTTATTTGTGAGAGAGAGAACTCATATGTGCCCAAGATGGGAAGGGGTGGTCTGGAGGGGCAGAGGGAGAGAATCTTCAAGCAGACTCCCTGCTAAGCATGGAGCCTAATGAGGGGATTTTGGTGGGCCTTGATCCCCCGACCTGTGAGATCACGACCCGAGGGGGAGCCCAGGGTCAGCCGCTCGGCCAACCGAGCCACACAGGCACCCCAGAATGAAAAGTTATTTACATGTGTTACAGTCACACTGCATTCTGGAAATCTTGTGAGAAAGACTTTCTTTATCATAGCACAAAAGTGACAAACATGAAAAAATTGTTCCTGTATAACTAAACACAACCTAGCTTATCAAAATATGTCGACGACAGAAAACTGACACTCTCTGGAAGAAACAAGACTCTGGGAATCATAAACACAGTTTTCCACTGCATCGGGACGGATAATAAAAGGGAAACAGGGTTGAAGTGTATTGGGGAATAGAAAATCCCATGAGAAGTCTGATCCCTCTCAATTACGTCCAGGTTGCTGATTCACTGAGTTTAATTTAAGAACTATTCATGAAAAAATTAAGATTTTTTTTTTGAACGGCGTTTCCAAGACAGGAAAGATGTGGAGGAAATGAGAGGAGGCACAGACAAGGGACCAAGAAGGGACAGGGAGAAACTGAGAGAAAGGAGGCCGGCCTCTCTGCCAGGGCAATGAAGAATTCCCAGGGCTCCCACAGGAGGGAGTGTGAAGCGACTGGACCTCCACGGTGTTGATGATGGTGAAGACGGCCACGGAGAACACTGATGTTATGTGGCTGGACATGGAAAAACAACTTCAAATAACTGTGATGCTCTACAGCCTGACAAGTCACCATCTACCGGTGTCACTCCTCACCCGTGCAGTGGGGAAGCGTTCCACTCCAGTGACTGTCCTCTTGACAAACCCGGGTGCTGTTGCCTACAAGGTCCTGGCTCCCTTTGCACGCGTAGTGAACTACGGCACCGTATGTGAACAGTTCTCCAGTCAGGATAGCATTGGCAGGAACCCCTGGGTGGCCGCATGATATGGCTGAAGGGAAAGTTACAACAAATGAGTACGTCAGGCTTATAGAACTGCTTTACCTTGTAGGTCTCGCACACAGACACCCATACACACATCACCTATTAATGAAAAGCAGCTGAACATACTGGCTAATTCCTGCAGTGCCCTGTGGATAACCAACATCATTTTCCAGGTGACTCTCCTCAGGTGTTCTCCTTAAACAGTACATGTTACTGAGGACAAGACGAGGGTCTGTCAGGGATGTCTGCTTTTGTTTCGTTTTCTTCTATCTCGAGGTGGTTTTGCTTAAGATAGAATCATACAGCTAGGCTTTCAAAGAGAAAGTCCCTCTACCTACATTTTTTCCATTTGTCCTTAACTGTAATCCAAAAAAGCAGTATGATATACAAAGTCAGAAATTGCATCGAGTCATGAAAACCATTCCCATTATCTCTTCAGCTAATACGACAATTATCCACTTGCTGGGCTCAAAACTCTTATCATATCTGCTTACTCTTCCGTTCATGGATCCATGATGACCCTTCTAACAATTTTTCTTTGAGCATATGGCAGTTTTAAATGTTTAAGTAATAATAAATAATAAATCAGTGATTAAATTCTTCCTCGAGTTATCTCCATATTCCCATTCGTTTCTTTAAAATGATGCCCAATCAGGCCTATAATCTAATCATAAGTTATCTTTCAAAGAGGAAACTCTGGAGTCGAGAGTAACGTAGGACAGTGAAGATTTGTCTCTCTTTTTCTATGAAGTCCCAAATTAGGGTTAACCATGGACAAATGTTGCTCTATGTGCAAACAGCTGACCGCATTCAGGCTACCAACAGATTATTCAAAGGCCACTGGTTTAACGCCCAGAGCACTTGTTTTGATCACTGTTAGCCCAAAAGTGATCTCACCAGAGAGGTACGGTAGAAGGTGGAAAGGCACTGAGAATCCCAGTGAGTCACATTAGCCCTTAGGTTGATCCAGTCCTACACGGACATCCACTCATCGGTGAACAAGATTTTACCTAGACAGAGTCCCAAAAGGAAGCTAACTAGAGCCAAGTCAATAAGCGATTGGTAAATGGCCAGCTCCAGCTCAAATTAACAGAGGGGGAAAAATCCGTGAAACCACAACCCCAAAACCAGAGGTGAGGCTTGGCTGCTCCAGAACGCGTGGAAGCAAAGGGCTCCTCTGAGAACCAGTATTTCCAGACGCGCGGTGATTCCAAGTGTTAATGAGCCTGAGGGGTGGGAACCAGTCACCCAGGAGAACAAGAGTCACTTACAACCTCGTTCCTGGAGACGTGGAGCACACTGGGATCATTACAAAAACTAATGGGAGTCTCACATCAGCCCGGAACGATGCAAAAGAAATGTTTGGGGAGACAAAGAAAGAAAAACGAATTTCTCTGAAAAATCCCCACGTGTGAAGGCCTGGAAAACCAGAAAGCAGATAAAACTTGATGAACGTTCTAATACATTTACAGATGAGTTTTTTGTCATATGAGGCTGTGCGTCTGCTTTTGAAAGCAGTCACTCTTTCTCCGTGGAAATTAATTATGTTGTTATAATTTGAGACAAGTGTCTGTGTAGATTGGGAGGGTTATGAGGGACACTGAATCACAGGGAAAAAAAGAGTCTCCGGGACTAATTTATTCTGAAAATGTACCAGTAATGCTGCAATTCCAAGAGGTAAGATAATCACACTTTTTTTTTTCAGCAAATTCAACTTAATAGGTAGTTGTCATTCCCCACATTCTTGATGCACACAAAATGAATACAAAGAAGATAACATTTCGTTTTTAGGGATTGTTTTGTTTCTGAATGATTTTTAAAAGGCCAGGGAGAGTCACCCCTTTCCCTAAACCGTCAGACGTTGTAATAGGTGATGCCTTCAAGCTAAAGGACAAAGTGCTTTTTCAAGTTGAAAGAAGGTAAGACTAGAGCTAGTAGTTGGGGAAAAGTGTATTCTTGTTAATCTGCATGGTCTAAAAGACCGATGTGTTTTGAGGGGGCCAGAGTGATGATGTATAATTTGTCTGCCCGCAATAGAACCTCCATTCTTCAGGGTAATCTGCCTTCCTCTTATGTAATCATGTGGATCAGGAGGAAGATACTGGCAAGATACTATCTTTTCTATTGTATTAACCCCTTGGTACCAGAGCTGCTCACGAGACCTGTCTTGGGTCCCTCAGGTTAACTCAATCCTTCTGGCCATAGATTCTAGGTCAATAGACAGACACTCCCTACCAGAGCCCTTTGCCAATATTTCTAAATCTGGGTCCAGACAAAGTGAAGCTGAGAGGGGCAAGGTGTTGAGGTCACTGGCCACTCTGTTTGAGCCGTGTAGGGTAAACATTTCTGCCAGGTTCGAGTAGAGGACGAGAGCTGTAACAAGCCGAGACAAACTCAGGAGGGTCCGAGTGCTGCCCACACACCCGGGTCCGTTTCTCTCTGAAGCCAGGTAGGAGAACATGCCAGTGTCCCCTCTCCTTTGTGACTCTTAAACTAGTTTGAGTTGTAATTTGTGATTTCTGGCTAGTCGATAAAGATACCATATAACTATATAACTTGTAAAGACTTAAAATGTTCTTGTCATTGCTCTCTTGGTAGTCTTATGGGCTCAGAGGCACAAGAATCCAAAATAACCCGCACTTACCCAGACACTTGGGTAGAGAACGATCCCACAGGCCGTTAGCCATGCAGGTTAAGGCAGAAGACCCCAACAGGTAAAACCCCTTCTTGCAATGGTACATGACACTCATCCCGTATTCAAAGCTCTCAGGGAAATTCTGTTGCCCGTGACGAATGGCATTTTCCACAAAGCCTGGATCTGAGCAGTTCACCACTAGAGGGAAAAAAGCAGACGTCATTTAGCTGCACTCAGAAACAAAAGAGATCTGCGGAAAGGGCCTCTCCTCGCTCATCAGGGGAGACAGTTTGCGCACGACAGCATCAGAGCGACGGCTGTCATCAGACTGTCCTCCCTGCTCCCTGCTTTGGGCCACCATGCTTCAAAAACTGCCCAGCCGTCTCTCTGCTACGCCGGCAATTTTAAGGATGTGAGGCTCATCTCCTCTACTTATTTCTTAAGCAGAGACGTCAATCTAAAGTCTAAAATTCGTTTCCCTGGTTCAGGTTTTATGCTATAAAAATGTTGAACTAGAACCCGTTCAAGTTCGTCTCCTTGCCATATTTTTCCTGGGGGCGGGGGGGGGTGTATTTAAGGCCTTCTGTAGCAGCGTCTTAATCAACCCATGGATTAATTAATGCTTCAGTATGTGTGCCTAGAGTCATTTCTGCTGCTTGAGGCATGCAAATAAAATGACAATTCTCCCATCCACCCTCAATAGAAATGGAAATCCAGCCAGCCTCCGATGGAAGCCTCTTCCTCCTTTAGAGAGGGCCCGCAGAGGAAGGGTCCGCTGTGGCACAGGACAGGCTCTGGTTAATCTGAATGGCACTCTATAGCCTGAATGTGTCTTGGCTTCTGTGAGGGAATTAGCAGTGCACTTTTGCAGGTGCAGAGGAACAGAAAGAACCCCTGATTATCTCGTGCTTCGACCCCCACACCAGTGAATGACACAGCTGCTGGGAAAGCTGCACTCTCTCCAGATATTTCTGGCTTAGAAAGGGGCCATTCAGCTAATTCTCAGGCAGTCACAGCAAGTCACAGGGTCCCAGCGGCCCGGGGCAAACCCTTTACCCTATCTGTGCATTTGATTTCGTCTTTGTAGTGAGGAGGAAGGTGTAGGGCAGAAGGGAGGATTACAAAGACCCCTTTTAGTGCTGGGAAACAGTATTCTGTGCTTTTCTGAACAACTCTGAGCTTATAGAAGAAAGACTCAAGTTCTTTTGAGCCAAAACAACAACAAAAAAAAATGTTTATGGAGCACAGACAGATAATTGTAAGGCTCCCTTATGCATTACATCCACAATAAAACGATCACCAAACCCACTGAAATAGCAGGAATTCCCCACCTGAAGAACATCTAGTGCCCTTGAATGATTAATGATTTCTTATATTCCGAAAAACAACTGCCTGGGTGGGTTCTGGCACTTGGCCTTGTGCGTCCTGCCCAGGAGATGGAAACGGCTCCCTAGTGTTACACCTTCTGAGGCAGCAAAGTGTCTCCTGGGCCTGCGTGCTGAAGACAGTGTCTGTTGTGTCTGTGCTTATGCTCCTCTTGGGACACTGTCCAGAACGCAGTATCAGAGCCTTCGGCCGTGAGGGCAGAGGTGACCTGCAGGGATGGTGCTGAGCTGGTTCTCAGATGCCTCTGCCCGGACGCCCAGCAGAGTCCCAGCCCTGCGTGGGATCTGCATAGCCCTGCTGAGCTCCTGCATTTCTTTCTTTGTACTTTAGTGGTTTGCCCCAGGAATCCTGTGGTGGGCGAGAAGGAGGAGATGCACAAAACAAGGGCCATAATGGGTTCGGAGCTTGAAAGAAGGATCCAGCTGGAGATGAGAGCATGGAGCAGAGGGAGTCCGCTGCACAGAGGTCCAGCCGCACCCTTCTCTCTGTGGGCCACAGGAGGCAAGGTGGTCTGAGCTCCGCTGTGGCCAGAGGAATAGGGTTACAATAGCTGGTTTCCTGCCTGGCTGCTCAGAAACCCTGGGCTGGGGTCTCTCTGGTGGCCCCTCTTGCCCCTGGCGGAGGAGAGGTGCATCCCGGACAGGAACACCCTCATTGCCGGTGGCCCCTCCGGGATCGTAGGTCACACAGAACCTCCTGGAAGGAACGTTGGAGCACTGAGTCCCAGGCGTCTCCCTGTCCTTCACCTAGGCCTGCCCCTTAAATGAGTGAGCAGTGACGATGCTGGATAGTGATCAACAGCCCACGAGCGCCAATGAGGGAAACTGAACCCTTCCTCGGGTCGAAAGACTGTGTCTACACAGTCCCTACATCTGCCTGTTTTATTTTTTTTTTTCAACCTTGTCCTATCAGATCAGTCCCTCACAGCGGTGGTCAGACACGTCCACCTCAATCCCTTCCCTTTCACTGTGGAGGCTCCGCTAGGAGATCCGCTGTAGCTCTCTGCTGGGGGCAGGAGTAACCCGATTTATTTGTCCACGACCGCAGGCCCTCTGAGCATCTGTATTGTGTTGTGCGTGGGTGTGTCGTGTCGTGTGTGGGTGTGCCCGCCACTTTTTTTGCGGGGGGGGGGAGCGTGCCTCCTGCTGGAAGTCTTAGCCTCCAATTTTTATTTATGGGCGGTGTACGGAGCCTCTTCTCTACATACACTCCTTACTCTTGGAGAAGTTCTCTTTAAAAACACTCAAGCTAGGGCACCTGGGTAGCTCAGTCGGTTAAGCGTCTGCCTTTGGCTCAGGTCATGATCTCAGGGTCCTGGGACCTGCCCTGCATCAGGCTCCCTGCTCATGGCAGCTGGTTTCTCCCTCTCCTCCCCTTTCCTGCTCTCTCTCTCTCTCTCTCTCAAATAAGCCAACAAAATCTTTAAAAAAATACTCATGCTGACAAATAGAGATAAAAACATTTTACACCCTCAGACTTACACTTTTAAAAATATATTCCTTGTTAAACTTTCCTGAGTACTAATTGCCCTTTTTATCTCATATTGGCCTAAATCTGCTCGTGCATGTTTCGACGCTGTCCTGTCGAATTATTCTTACACAGCTGCAGTCGGACACAGCTTATCCACAAATGCTCTCGTCTGATTATCGAGTGTGTGGATAATCTGACTAATTAAACAGGAGAACGCCAGTTTTTGAAATGCGATTTGCTAATTATTGGATCTGATTTACTCTGCGCTTAATCTCTAGGAGGGATTCTCTTTCCCTTGGCGTGGTGTACCCTGTGGGGAGCCGCCAAACACTCCGACTCTGGGCCCAGTTCCACCCCGTCCGGCTCGGTCGCCGGCCGCGCACCATCTCGTTAGACACCAGAGACGTCCACTGGCTCTAGCTTGCCCTGCTCTGCTCCCTCATCAGGCCCTGGGTTCAGCACCTGACCCAGGTCCTCGGTTCTGTGCGTGACTCAAAGCAACAACCATGTTTTCATGGAAAAGCTCTTCGACGACAAGGGGAAATGGCAGATCTCAGTCCCAGGCACTCTCTCCAGCTTTTGAAAAATAGAAATGAGGCCACTCATTTCTGACGGGTTGTGGAAATGTAAAGTAAAAAGCAGTAACAGAGTATGCAGGCGAGCTGGCCTCAGCCATGAAGAGCATGGACCCGGGGTCGTCTGGACAGTGAAACTCCTACGGTACTTCCCTAGGATTGTTGTGGATTTGGTCCCAGACTATTGTTTGGCTGGGACAATCTGAAAATCCCAATTGCTTCTGAGCTGACTAAAGCCGTTCTGAGCTCCATCTCCTGGTTCTCAGAAACAATTTTCATAATAAATTCTTACGTTACACACAACACATTTCCTTGCATGTTTTTTACATCATTTATCTACTCATCAAAATGTATTAATTCATCATTAATAAAAATTTATGAAAGTTTATAAGGTGGGACTGGGCAAGGAGACAAACCAGAAGAGACTCTTATTATCAGGAAAGAAACTGAAGGTTGCTGGGGGGAGGGGGCAGGAGGGCTGGGCTGGCTGGGTGATGGACACTGGGGAGGGTACGTGCTATGGTGAGTGCTGTGAATTGTGTAAGCCTGACGATTCGCAGACCTGTACCCCTGAAACAAATAATACATTGTATGTTAATAAAAATAATAAAAATAAATTAAAATATCACAAAAAAAGTTTGTAAGGTTTTACTTAGCAGGTGTCTGAGATGATGATAACAGACTCTGGTGATTTTACTTGTATATCCAGAATCTGGTTGGAAATCGGAAACCCAGAACAGAATCCAAAGTGCCTCTCAGTCTTCGGTGTCAATGCTAATTCCTACAAATCTAGTGCTCTTACTCTTGGCCAGTTCCCGGAAGGACGGCTGGCATGGAGGAGGCTGCACAACCCTGTGACTGGGGATAAGTGTACATCCAGGAAACCATCACCACCAAATGGGCCGTGAACACCCATCTCCTCCCAAAGTTTAGTTTTTGAAAACTAGAAATGAGTAGCCCTGACATCTCAGATGACAGCTTCCTTTTGTGGAAGATATGTATATATTTTTAACTTCAACATAATTCCTCTGAATATCTGTGTTTCTATTTCTATTTGGTCTTTGCTCCTGCTTCTTCTGTTATCTCTTACAGCTCATAAAAACCTGTTTGTGAACAGGAAAATAAGAAAATGATGCTTCATAACCGAAGAATAGCTATTTAATTTCAGTGGTGGTGGGAAAAGGGAGTAAGAGTGAGTTTATTAATTTTTTAAAGCACTCATAATTGATTGGAGTTCTGCATAGTATGTTTTTAAAATGTTTATAATAGGGACGCCTGGGTGGCTCAGTCGATTGAGCGTCCTGCTCTCGGTTTCAGCTCAGGTGGCGATCTCACGATAGTGGGATGGAGCCGGAGTCAGGCTCTGCCCTCAGCGGGGAATCAGCTTGAGGGTCTCTCTCCCTCTGCCCCTCCTCCCTCCCTCTCTCTCTCTCTCAAATACATAAGTCTTTAAAAAAAATAAAATGTTTTCGATAGAAAGAATGGCACAAGGACAAAATATGCAATATTCAGTGCACTGCACAGAATAAACATTTTTGGACTTGATTACTAACTGGATGAATCAACAGTTTTAAAATGGGATTACTGGTCACAGAGAAAAAAAAATGCAAAAAAGCAACAGCCTTTGAGGACTGTTGTCCAAATACATGAGAGTTACATTTTCATTTTAATCAGTACCTTGATAAAGTAAGTTTTAGCTGCAATTCAGACACTCAGCTGTGATAAAAGATAAGCACTAATTATCATGGATTATAATTGATTGCCTGACTTTCCTGAGCAAATAGAAATTTCTGAGGGATGTGGACATGGAGGGAGGACTGAGGACCTACTGTGTGCCAGGCACTTTGTGGAGAATTTCACAAATACCGGTTTCTCTAGAACTCAGGAACACGTGAGGACTGTGTTGAATAAAGCTACAAACATAGAACTGGTTCTTATATTTCCCTTAATTTGAAAACTTCACCTTTTTAAATTTTGGAAAATATGAGATTATATGATATGACATAATAATATAGTACATATAGCTTTTCGCAGACATATAAATGCAATCATATGCATAGTGGTTCACTAGTAGTTTTTTTTTTTACTGCTTCCTTTTTTTATTCCTCTCTAACCACAACCGAAACTTCACTAACTATATTTTCTTAATTTTCTTTATCTTCATGTGTGTAATCACACAGGGACATATATTTTATCATATATATTTAAACTTAAATACCCAATCCTATAAAACCACAGGTAGAAAGGAAAAAATGTCTAAGGTTTGTATGCAATATGAAAATGATCTCATTAAGAAAGGAAATATTAAGTGAACTACCCTGAAACTGTCAAACTCAGCATTCTCACTGAATTGACGGGACCTTTGAGCTTACTGACACCTGTTTTGGAATTTAGGACTTGAAGGCACAAAGAAGCTTGTATACAGAAACAGGGGTCTCCAGGACAGTGTTATGACATTCTTAAATCATCTGATTCTTAAAATGGATGAGACACCTGTTTTCATGCCTTCTCATGAAATCTGCAACCATATCCTGTATTATGTGTTTCTCCCAGAGAGCTAGAACTACCAACGCAAAGCGTCCCTTCTTTCACTTTCCTGGTCCTCTTGGCAAAGATAGCGTTAGTGGCTGAGTATTAAGCATCATAGCTAGCGTCCTGGGTGTGAGCCTCCTGACTGACCCCACACACTGCGGGCTCAGGCACGGCTTGTCCCTGTGAAGGGCTGAGTCTGAGAACAATGACAAGGCCCCAAAGTGGACGCAGACACTCTAGAAATATCTATGTCTCTGTAATGCGGCCTCACGTCAGCACAGATTTACTCGTAGTTCCCCTCCAAAGTTCTGGGTGGAATTCCTCTTTCACATCAGGAACTAACTAAATGTTGTAGGATGACCCCAAATTCCACAATTCACTGACCCACAATCAGACACTTGAGAACTAGATATTATCCGGAACTTGGGAGAAGAAATCAAGCCCAAGAGCAGGCTTGCATGAGCTAAGACATCCTAAAACTTCCATGGACTTACTCCAGAGGAACCACGTAAGAGAAGAATCAGGTCGTATTGCAATATACAGTACAAATCCCTGGAAATTTTGTTTAAAAAGTAGCTATTTTTGTTACCTTCAACTTTTTGAGCTTTATGTTATTTTTTTTTCCCTAAGGCTTCACCACCTTTACGAGCCCATTCTCTTTGAAATTAGGCTTTTTCCTGGTTTTACACTAAACATGTAAATTCTGTACCTTAGATCCTATCTCTTAGCTTGTAAAGGAAGAAAACAAAACAATAGAGAACAAGGAGCAGTAAGCAAGGCATCTTGGAGGTGTTCTAGTGACTCCCAGTCCACTCCCCACCCAGAGGACAGCATCTACCAGCCACCACCCCCCCCCGCCCTGCCTTCATCAAAGGCCACGGATGTAGCAGCCTTCTGAATGGACCACACATTTAACAGTTCTGTGCTGTAAAAGGCAGTGCGAAGAGAATGAGGAAACAAGCCACAGCGTAGGAAAAATATTAGCAAAGGAGTTATGAATGAAGACGATTCATCAGAAATAGACAAAGAACTCTTAAAACTCCGTGATAAGACAGTAAGCAAGCACAAACTGGACCACAGACCTTAACAGACACCTGACTAAGGAAGGTACCCAGCAGGCAGGGAAGCACAGGGCACAGGCCCTACAACGTAGGTCGTCAGGGAAATGCAAATTAAAATTGCAAGGAGAGCCATACACACCTATGAGAAGGGCCAAAGTCCAGGAGACTGACAACACACAGAGCTGACAAGGACGGGAGCCACGGGGACCCTCCCCCATCGCTGGCCGGAATGCAACATGGTGTGGCTACATTGGAAGACCCTTGCTGATTTCTCACAAAATTAAGCATGCTCTTACCCCACAATCTAGTAGTCATGCTTCTGGGTATTTACCCAAAGGAGTTGAAAACTCATGTCCACACAAAAACCACTATGTTTCCTCTATTTACCAAAACTTGAAGCAACCAAGATGCTTTTCAGTAGGTGATGGGTAAATAAACCATTGTCCGTCCAGACAATGGAGGATCATTCAGCATGAGAAAGAAATGAGCTACCCAGCACGGAGAGGTATGTCGGACCCTTCAGTGCACATCGCTAAGTGAAAGAAACCCATCTAATCTAATCAATTCCAGCCTAATTTCAACCCTATGACCTTCTCAATTAGGCCAAACTATGGAGACGGTAGAAAGATCGGTAGTTGCCAACAGTTAACTGGGGAGAGAGGGATGAACAGGTAGGGTGGTGCGGATTTTTAGGGTGGTCAGTCTACGTTGTATGATACTCTCAGGGAGGGGATACAGGTTATTACGTACTGGTCCAAATCTATACAGTGAATGACACCAACAGTGACCCTGCTGTACACTGTGGGCTCTGGACGAAGATGACATGTCCCTAGGGGTTCATGAACTGTAGCACACACCGTTGGTGGGGACACCGATAGTGGGGGAGGCTGTGCACCTGTGTGGGGAGGGGAAATCTGCTTCTTCTGTTTAATTTTTCTATTAGTTTATCGCTTTTATTTTCTGTGCTCTGAAAAATAAAGTCTGCTAAAAAATTAAGTATTTTCCTATTTGTTAAAAAAAGGGAGAAAGGTAAGAAAAGGCAAAACAAAGACCGAAGAGGTGACTGTCCATTCCAGCATTGTGCTGTGCCCGAGGCAGCTACAGGGCAGCATCTAAAACCCTGAAAACAATTAATAAATGATAGCATTTAATTTCTAGTCCTCTTCATTGGTATAGGTTAGAGGAAAACAGAATTTAGATCTCAAAAAAGGTCTGATCGTGAAAAGTCCCCAACTGGAGTTCATTCTGTCTTTTGTCCAGCAAGAAGATGTCACGTGTCCCATGGACAATGTCTCGCATAGGTGGATGACATTCCCCCGCCCCCCCAACTAGCTCACTGCCCTGGTCCTCTTCACTGTGTCTCATTAAAGCTGTGAAATCCTGTCACCTGTCTCGGTACTGACAGTGTGCAGAACAGCATTTCGAATATAGCACAAGCTTCACAGACGTTATAGTCAGCTGCATAGGAGGGCTTTGGGGAGCAGACGGAGAGTCCGATGGACCTACGCCCTCAGCAGACACTCCATCTGTACCCCCACATGAGGATAAGTTGGGCCCACACTTATGGGCATTCATCTTTAATCCTTGTTTCAGTTGTGCTATATTTTTCCTGCTAGAGGTGGAGAAAACAGTCTGATGCAAACTGGTTAATCTTTTTCTAAATCCCTACAGCCATGCGAACACACGGCCAGCGTCACAGCTCTGTCTCCCTGCTGCTGCTCGCGTCCTTGCCAGTTCTTGCCCATATGTGTGAATCTTGCTTCCCTGGGAAAGGCGAGAGGTGAGGGCGCTCTTTCCGCTATTGGGATGTTCAGAACTGAGAGGCGAGACGCCACACAGAAGCCAGCCTTAGGGGACAAAGGTGTCCCCTAACCCCACTCACCCTTCACCCTGGCACCTGGCTCATGCCGTTGATGGTAAGAGTGATGAAGGGAAACTTGCTAGTTTTCCAGCCGACCATACCAACCACACTGTCAGCAGACCAGAGAGGGGCTCTCCTGTGAGAACCTCAGGGAGAAAGTGCACCCCACGCCCAACCATGTCACAGACCGAAGCCTGCTTTCTGGGGAAAGTGGGGACAAGGGGACCAAGGGGGCTCTCTCTTTCCTCTACACTGAAATAGGGTGAATCGAACACTAGGGTTTAGAGGGAAGTGAAATTAGGAGACTTCGTTTCGTTTAGACTTCAAGCCCAGCACTTTACCCGAAACTTGTACCAGGACCCCACAGCTTGTTACCACTTGTAACGATTTTTATAAAAATGGCTTAGATCCTTTGTGCTGCCGTCTTATCTGGATGTGGCCTCCTTGGGAGCCCGGTGGGCAGGAGGGTGCTGTCAGCGAGAGGAAAACGCGTTAAGTATCTGGCTCTCATACCACAGCTGCCATAAACACCCCCTCACCTTCACCCTTGAGTCTGACACCCCGTCAGCGCAAGAGACATTTTAATGGAAAGCACCAAAGCAGAAACTTATATGTTATGAGCTCAAGCATCTAGAAATACAGAAGCTCCAAAATAGCATTTTCTTGAAAATTCAGGTTTTAGCCTAGATCTGTGTGGCAATTAAAAAAAAAATTTAAAAAGAATGAAAAAAAAAAAGAGAGAGAGAGATTTGAAAGCAATGAAAACTTCTTAGTGGATCTGTACGTCCAGAGCTCCAAATGCAGAGGTACCGTCTGGATGAGCGGACGGTCAAAGAGAAGCTGAGGGAAGACAGGCGTGCCTGAGTCAGCGTCCTCGGCCGCCCTGCTCGAGCCCCTGGCCAGAGCCAGCATAGACCATGGAGGGATTTTTGCTTTATTGTCACAAATGTCCCCCGACCCCAGAAGTGAAAGCATCTGCGGCATCTTGTGCCTTGACGTGAAGTCTCATGCCCGCGGGTGCCTTCGTCGGCCGCTACCCTCAGCTTACAGGCTCGTTCTGGGAGCCTCTCCTACCTCGACAGGTGGGCAGAGCGCTGCTCCACTGGCCGTTGCTCCGACACTGGGCTCGGGCGGCGCCCTGCAGCAGGTAGCCGGCGCTACAGGTGAAGTTCACCACGTCGTTCAGGTTGAACTCGCTGCCGTTGGTGAACCCGTGAGCGGGGTTCCCAGGGTGGCCACAGGTGATGGCTGCAGAGGAACACAGGCCCTCGTCAGGGTCAGAAAACACCCAGGCCGTCGCCCTCCCCTGGAATTCCTCCTCCATAGACACACAAGTACGTTCCAAATCCCACGTCTGTCTGGAAGGGGAAACCACGAGGAAGAACTGTATGGGGACCCACCGGTTTATAACGTAATTGTGGAAAACCACCAACACTGGCAAATGAGTGCGCTTTCTTCAGCGTGATAATTATTCTCACGTCAGGACAGAGTGTTGAATGACTCAGTGAAAGCCGTGAAAAATGAGAGGCACTAAAATTCTTGAATTAATGACAAATTTTGAACACCTCTTTTTAGAACACACCAGCCAATTTTGTGGAGCCCTTGTTTTGAAACATTATAGGGGCTTGGCTGATGATTTAAGTTGCATATGCATAAGTTATGCCGATGTCAACTGAAACACCATGAAATTAGCAAAATATGTGTGTGTGTTCGAACAGCATTTCCTTTGACAATCCCAAACCTAGGATGTTTTGACACGTAGTGAACGGTCATTAATGCCATGCCCTAAATAACAGCCATACAAACCCCAAACATATCCTTCTGTGGCCCTTTCAAAAGAAACACATCACGGTCATAAAACTGGTGATTTCTTCGTCATTTATCTTGTCAACAGCTCTTTCTCCTAAGCCAAGCTTTCTCCCTTGAACTCTACATAGTCCCCACTGCACCATCCCAGAGAATTTCTGTCATTATCTGGGAACTATATCAACATTTTCCTTGTTTAATTCACGGGGAAATAAAGAATATACTAGAGGAAAAAAAAAAAAACATTGGCTTAAAATAAATTTTGCAATAGAGCGTATACCATCTTCTAAAAATACAGGTCCATATTTACCTTGGATGGTATAAAATTTGAAGACAGTCATTAAATAGTTTTACCTCTTCCTTTAAAGGAGGGCCTGCTTACAAGTTCTGTGTTCTTGATGAAACAATGACAAAAATAGAAAAGAACACAGAAGAGGAAGGGCGTGAGGCTATTCTGGGGACTCAGCCAAGCCGGCCTGCAGACAGACTCAGCGTCTCTGCCTCCCATAATTAGCTTCTGTTTCCACCTTGTTGATCCTGGGATAAAATCAGGAAAATGAGTGCATGACATCACTCGTCCTGGGACCTGTTTGCGAAGAGTTAGGGAGCACATCCACTGTGCACAGCCATCTGGAGACACAAAAAGGAAACCGAACTGGGAAGTGGATGGGACAGAAGAGGGAAGCCGTGCCCACAGCATGTCTCTCAGCACAGGTGAGAGGGGTGCTTCTCCACTCTCGTTCCCTCCAGAGGTTGCACATGTGTGTGCTAAGACTTCACACCGAGAGAAAATGCCACCGAAGGAAGCACCTGCTGAACTGGTTCCCAGCGTACTTACGGACACAGACTGGGGTCTGTCCCGACCACTTGTGGTCCTGCAGGCATATCCGAACCGACGTCCCCACCAGCCTGAAGCCAGGATTGCACTGGTAAACCACAGTGTCCCTGTAACTGAAGCCGTCCCCGCTGATGTGACCGTTCACAATCGGATCCGGGGAGCCACAGTGGCCGGCTACAAACACAAGTAAAACCAATAAACACATTTTGGGGATTTTGTCTCTTATAAAAGTACTGCAGTCACAGTTTGTTTACCTTTATCGATAAGTGAATAACATCACTGAGTGCCTAACTTATTGGAATTTCTTCCATTTACATTTATTTTTGTTTGATATAATTTTTTTTCTTTGTAACTTGTATCCATTTTTTTTCTGAACAATCATGGGTAGTGACTAATATTTCAAATAATGAAATTGCTAACAAATATGAGTTACTAATGAAATTATTTCCTCAATTAAGGTTTCCCCATGCATTTATTTTACTTCTTTTTCTTACTGAGATTTTATGTCATTTGTCCTGTTATGGTATTTCCAAATAAAAGCCATAAAAGGGGAAGAGACCTTTGGGGTGAATAGGGATCGGTCTCATAGCCTATTAAACGTGGAAGGTCAGGAGAAGGATGCTAAGGACTTCAGTGTCCAACGGTGGATGGTTAAACTACTTGTGAAATTTCAAAGGCAAGACGAACACTGGAAACTATGCTTGGTTTCAAACATGTGTTCCTGCTCAGGTTAGAACCAGCGTCGAGGTGGAACAGGCCTGTGAGCGGTTGAAAGAAGAGCCCAGAGCACAGGGAAGGGAGCCTGAAGACAGAGTAGATTTAGGGGAAGCGGGACTGTAGATGTTACTGAAGCCCAAGGTGCCTAGGCTTAAGGATGAACCGTGCACAGAGTGGGAACAGAGAAGGTGGGACGATGAGATGGGGCGGATGTTCACACTTAAAGGGAGGAGAAAAGCACGGAGGGGAAGGAATCTGAACTCTAAGAAGATGATCACTTGGCGAACCTGGTGTTAGATAAGCTTCAATAACAGACAGCAGCCATGTGGAGAAGGAAGTAAAGGGATAGAAGTTCTTTGTGAGAGAAGGTTGAAATGGTGATGGAGATTCTTGGCTTGACTCAACTTTTGCCCAGGTCCTGAGCCTTCTCATAGGACCATCCGTGCCCCATTCTGGAAAATCCAGTTGTAGCAAACACTCTGCTGAGTCAGGTTACTAAGAAGCCCCCACCCTCCATATCTGATGGGCTTCCTCCCCCTCCACCTCCAACCCCCAGGTGAGGTCTGCTCACTTGCCCCGACTTCAGCAAAGTCCTGCTAGGTCACGTTAGCCAGGACCCTTACCCCTGACATTCCCTGCTGGAGATTTCCCAGCTGGGACTCCAGCTCTCCTTGGCTGTAACCCTCACTCCCCAGGAAACATTCAGAGCTGAGGTGCGTTTCTCCCCTCCACTGGAAAATCCACTGTAACTCTGACCCTGTGGCAGTGGTCCAGAACACAGTCTGCCTTCCCATTCTCATCTAGTGTCCTTCACCATTTTTTCCCCTTGAAAAACCATAAGGTGCCACATGGTACAGAGGAAACATGGACGGGCAGGGCTAGGTGTTTCTGTCAGTCTCTCTATTCTCCTTTCCAAGTTCTTTCCTTTCCTTCTGTTCTGTCCTCTTTCCTCTTCACCTGTCTCCCTTCCCTCCCCTTTCCCTCCTAATCTCTCCCTTCCTCTCCTATGGAGAGAGTATCTTACTAATCAACAAAATATGAAGCATTGGGAGTACCCAACATTACCCATGTTATACATGGGCTTAGGACAGACAAGAGGAGAAAGTCATTCACCACCAGTTCCTAATGATCCATTCAAACCTCAAAGTTTACATGGGCAGGGCACAATACAGGTTGGAGTACATGGAAAGTAGTTTGCTGTAGACTTCCCTTGGCCATTTACTTCCCAAATAGAGCACACAGCTGTCAAAGGTTTACACAAAACAGACAATCTACTCCCCTATCCCAAGACTGAGAAAGTTGGAAGTTGTTGCCACACAACAAATGGAGTTAACTTCACCGTTCTGGAAGAATTTAAAATAATAATCTATATTTCTGCTTAAGACAGTGTTCAGCAGCACTGTGTTCTTCTGGGCTTTGAGCTAAGTTTATTATTGGCAAGGTGACTTTGTAGAGCAGAGAGGGAGAAAACCAGATCGATGGCTAGGCTTTCCTGATTGAACGACGTTTGTAAGAGGTTGGGTCAAAGAAGTCATGCTAGCTTCAGTTGGTTCTTTGTAGCCTTGACAGGCTCTTTCCACTTGGCCAGATCAATTGAGTCGATTCTGGCAAGGGTCCAGATCACCTCTTCCAAACAGAGACTTGATGCATCCAGAGAACTCAGAGGAGGAATATGCTCTGTGGGTTGGAGAATGAGACTCTGGCGTGGTGAGGGTACCACAGAACACTGGCCTTGGCTCCAAAGCCCTCCCCCATCCAGAGGGGGTCACACGCACAGCATGCACACTGTTGGGTATAGGGATGGAGCTGATTTCCAGCCCCAGTGACAGTGATGAGAAGGGCAGCCAGAGGGGCAGCACATAGGCTTGCACAGACTGGGAGGAATGCAGTCATGGTGGGGTAACCAGTAAAAGATCTGCTTTCTAGAAATGTGCACCAAAAAACACAGTTCGATCTTCAAGAGAGAGTGGGTCACCTGACTCCCAGGTATTGTTCTAGATCATGTATGTACTCTGGGGTTACTTCTGAAGCCTGCCACCACTCCAGCAGAAGCGGGCGTGGACCCCATGGCGACTGGATGATGAAAAGGGTACATTGCGATGGAAAGCCCACATCATTCATAATATCTGCCCACCTTGATTTGGACAATACCCCTGGCTACACTCACCTTCAAACCTTCAAAAACATTTCCTTTTCTATTGTGTTTTTTAGCAAGACCACATAGTTGAGGCTGCACTGTCTTTTGAAAGCCTGGCACAGAGCTACTCTTAGAAGTCAGGGAGGTGCCCGTCTTCTTTTGAAATCAAAGGGTTGACAGCCATGTGGGGAAATAGCAATTCCTAACAGCAACTCTTCCCGGACACCTGGTCATTTCAGTTCTCTGAGGAACTGGGCTTCAATACCAAAAGAAAAGAGAGGATGCCTTCCGAAACTCTTCATTTCAGCTCAGGGCCTGAGGAGAGAATCAACCACCTCTCCTGCTAATTCTGCCTTCTGATTTGAATTAATGTAGACCATGTGACAGCCTGATTCGAAGCTAAGACAGACCAATCTGATTTTCCCTTCTATGATATTCCAGCCCTCTACCGAGTTCCATTTTAAAACATTCAAAGTCATGAACCAATTCTAGGCTATCCACAAATATACAATATTCACACAATTTCACTTAGAATATTTAATAAGAAATGTCAACATTATGTAAACATGTTGTATGGAAAAAAAACTATAGGTAGAATTTGAACTCAGCGTACTCAGAAGTCTCTTTTAAGTGTAAGATTCTATGATTTTATGATAATATTGCGCTAAATCCTTTGTGAGTTCTTTTAACCTTGATGCAGCTCCAGTTTTGTTCTACACACTCTGTGGAAAGTGTGTTTCTGTATCCACCATGGAATGCTTTGTAACTGCCTTCATGCTCTGTCCAGTGGCTTCAAGGTATGAGTCACTCATTGAATACTCGCACCAGCGACTAGAAACGAAGCAACCTCACATTGATAGTGAAGCCCTTTCCACTGTCAAAGTGTATCCAAAAATGTTGTCTGCTAGGCGATTTCCACTTACTGGACAATAATTTCACAACCATTTCCTACCAGCCAGCAAGGTTCTTGGGCTTGAGATTACACAGAGGATAAGATACAACCACAGACAGTAAGAGTGAAAAAGAGAGTTGGGGCAGACTACGGAAAGGCCCAAGGTCATGAGCACTTTGTGGGCTGCGGGGCAGAAAGGGACACAGTGCCGTTAGTGCGCATGGGAAGGAAAGCCTGAAGCAGTCAACATTTAAGGCCCAACGATGTCCATTCGTTAGCCAGGTAAAGATGATGGAAAGGCAGTCTAGTTGCTGAAATGAGAAATTTTATTTACATTTCAGTCTCTGTTCAATTATGAAGCATATGGAGTTATACGGCCAAATGGTCCTTTTACTACAAGGGTATCCTCTTTCGCCCTTCTCAGCTTATGAGCCGTGTGCACCGTGCTTGACTCCATGAGCCTGCCACGATTTGGATGGGTTTAGTTGTCGCAGGTCCACGAAGTACAAACAAGAGCAAAGGATAAGAAAATCTATCAACAACAAAACATAACACGTAATTGGAATGAGGGCAGCCCTACGTATTTCAGAACGAAATATTGACTCATTAAGACAATGTGATCATATAGGAAGCCCCAAGGTTCTGTGTTTTTGGTGTTTTTCTTCACCCCTTTGTATTTTGTTTCATTTGTCTTCAGTTTAAACACGGATCACGGAACTTTTTTTTTTTTTTTTTTTTAACAGACAATTCTGTGGACGGTAGAGCACACCAGGACGTCAGTTCTTGAGAAGTGCCGCTCAGAAGTGCTTTCAGTGACGTGTAGACAGGAGAGGCTGGGAGAGACGAGCCTGAGCCGGCTTTGTTTTTAGGTCAGTCCTACTAATGAGCCTCGTAACCCGGCCCCTACGCCGAGCCTGATGCCGCTGACTGGCGGCAGGCTGAGGAGGGAGGCACAGTGCTAAGAAAACGGCAATTCCATATGATTTTTAATTCAGAAGAGAGATAAGTTTAGAGACACAGCCTAAAGGAACGACCAGATTTGCTTCTGCTTCGAATGTGGAGTAGCGGTTCCACTTCTCCCGTGTTTCTGGCCGTCTGCCTTTTCCCCACGTGCACACTAGGTACGACTCTGCACGGGGGATTCACCAACTCTGAAAACAGATTCTGAATCATCGGTAGAATCAAGAATTCGGTGCCAGACTGGCTATTGCCCAGCTCTGTGGTCGGGTGTGTCTCTGTACCCCACATGCCATGACATAAAAGAGGTAATTCAAATTGTCCTATAAAGACAAACGGAACGATGGACAAGGAAGTCCACGAAACCCCAACACTGGTGAGATTCCATTTGTTCTGTCGAAGAATGAGCCGGGTCAGAGGAATCTGGACGTTTCCCCTTGTTTACCAGCAGCTGCTTCCTACCACGAGCTC